CAAGTTATTCTCGACTTAATTGTATTGATATTTGTACTACATTCTTTCGTCGTTGACAAACTTCAAGAATCGACGGAATCTAATTTTTCATGTTCGTAGAAACTTCGACAAGAGCGTGTAGAATATTCTCCCGTTTCCAAGAAAGTTACATTTGTTCTTTTAAGAATAACTCATTTTTTTGTTTGTTTTCTTTTTAACTATATTACAACGGTACTCCGTTTATACGAACCAGCCCGGGAACAAGTCGGTTCATATAACCAGGTCGTTCGTGTAACAGGAGTCCACCTATTTCTCTCCACTATCTACGATTTTTTGTTCACTTAGAAGTTCATGTTCATACTAGAGAATTCCACGAAACATTCGCTTTTAAGTACATAATAATGTTGCAAACTTGTATCGCGTAACTCGTGCCCTTGCTTACCCTTACACCCTCGTACAAATCGTATAAGTTAACTCTCGACGATAGTTCAACTAATAATAATAAAATAGTAAAATTTCGTTCAGGTAAATAGAATACATAAAAATGCGAAGTTGCATAGTCTAAAGTAGCCACGTAACAGTATTAGTTACTTCAACACCCATTAAACCACACTCAGGTGGAAAATGCACCGCTACTCGGCGTTCACCAGCCTGTTTTGTTGAATTGTTGAAGAAGCTCGGCAATTATTGCAATATCCATAGGCCACACTTATTCACCGAAGCAGCGATCTTTCAAACTAACGTTGAAACACCTCTCTTATTCCCTTTACTAACGAAATCCTAATTTATTTCTGCCAGAGCCGCCAAAACTCAAATAAATCGCGTATACTACTGTAGCTGCACTCGACCACGCAACTTTGCAACGGCTTCGCGACACCAAACGCTGTACCTTCAAAGCGTAAAGCTGACATACCTAATGTACCATCGATATCCCTACGGTTCTCTCGCCGAATATTCGGAAAATCGCAATCGCAACCGTCGCGGACATCTAATCGTCGCGGATATCGAGGGGCAACAAAAATCCGTTTGATTTCGAACCAAAGATTCGTTCTGCCCTGAGCTGCGAAGTGCGAAAGTTTAAGGGTCATAGCGAAGCAAACGCCGTTAGAGATGCGTGATTATCATATAACTCTTGATAGTTAATCGTTAATTATTGTTAATCGTTGATCGTTGATCGTTGATCTTAAATTGTCGACTGTTGTTTGTTGATAGTTTGATAAACTTTCCTGCTAAACATCAAGAGTATTTCTTGCGGGCATCTTCACCAACAAACACCTCACTACGAAGTAAAAAATTACCAATCCTGTTGATAGGAAAGAAAGTCGTAGCAGTGTTGTCATGGAAGGAACTGAAAAATTTGCACGCTCCGTCACTATCGATTAGCGAATAATTATTACGCTATCTAAAGCAATGTAATCGTTGTAGAACGTGTAAATCATCTATATAAATTGTACACGTATTTGATAAGAAAGATTCACGTTTCACTAAACAACGCTGTTCGGACGTAATTCGAAGAGCAGCATGAGCTGCTTATAAAGGAAAGCGTTAAAGGCCAATCAATTCGCTTATTCTCTTCTGTTCTATTTTTAATAAGAATACTGCAAAGGACAAAGGATATTCTCCAACTGGATCTTCCCGGTTGTCCAGAGTCCCGATCGAGAATCTGCCAACTGCGGCGCTCGTAAAGACGGCCAACACATAAAACGAATGGCCAGGAGGAAATCTTCTATGTTCCGGCTGAGCACGCGTGCTCTTCATTCGCTGACTGTCGTCAATACGATCTTGATGGCCCGGAAACCAACTGGTCGATGGACATTCCTCGTTTTAGAGAACGTGTAGGCCAGCCATTTACGACCGAAACTAGACGCATCGATAGCCGATCGATTTTTACAAGACACGAACCCGCACGCTTCGCGCTTTTATCTCGAATAAAAAAATATTTTATCTCTCGGCGAATAACTATCATTCTAACGTGCGTTAAAAGACGATATTTTGCTGATAAAGTTTGTATGTCCGGCGTTATCGGTACGTCTTTGCTGTATCGAAATATTTAGAAGATCATAAAAGAAAAAGGGATACAAACGTAAGGGAAATGACCTGATTCATTTATAGGGTGGTTGGTAACTGGCGGTACAAGCGGAAAGGGGGTGATTCTACGCGAAAAAAGAAGTCGAAAATATAGAATAAACATTTTTCGTTCGAGGCTTTGTTTTCGAGAAAATCGACTTTGAATTTACGCTCGGTACGCGCGCGGTACGTTATAACCCATCTCACTGTAGATCGTCGTCTCGATGGAAAAATGAAAAAAAAAAAAATTTTTTTATTCTACATTTTCGACTTCTTTTTTCGCGTAGAATCACCCCCTTTCCGCTTGTACCACCAGTTATCAACCACCCTGTATATATAGGGTGTATTAAAAATTCGTGGTCGTGCTGCCAGCTTGCCAGCTTGACAGTTGGAACGGTAAAACGAACGAGAAGAGCAGCATCTCGTATCACTGTGCCAGCATCAAAAGAGAATTAAGGAAAAGCCAGGTTGACGAATTAGAAAATTTCCACGAGAGGACAGTTTCCTTCGATTTCTACTTTGATTAACGCCGACCTACCAAAACTATCGCGGACACAACGACCAGATTTCTATTCTCGCCAACTTGTGTCTCCGCCATACGAATCGAATTGCAGTAGAAATACAATGCGGCAGAAACTGGCCACGACACTTGCTGCGTCGCTTCTCGTCGAATTTCAATTTTTACAGCAATTCGGAGTGAAACTATTCGCAAAGGGTTGCCAGGAACGTTTTAACAGGAGAAGCGGCTATCACGCCACGTTGGTCGAATCCAGGACAATGCCATTATTTTCTATGGAAATTCTATAGAAACTTGCCACACAACGCGTTCTTTCTCGCGTCGACTCGAGCGATTTCTCTCCGGAAAATCGAATAATTTTTCGTTATTAATTTTAGGTCCAGGCAGAGGATCGTTCGCCTATCGCCAAAGTGCGCGTTGCGAAAAATATGAAAATTAATTGAAACGTTAAGGACACGCGTATTCGATATTTTTCATGAATTTTCTCACGGAATGAGATAATTATGTCGATAGATTTTACGTAAAGTTACTAACTTTTAACCACTCGGTTGTAGGCTTAACAGCTTACGATAATTTTTTTTTTCTTTTTTTTTTTTTTTGCTATGAACTCGATGCACTTGTTTGAGAAAACACGAACAGAATCTATTATTCAGCCTGTATAGGTAACTGTAAGGCCTGTGTCTACACATTTTAATTTCACTTTCCACTTTATTCCGTTTGAAATTGTCAAACCATTATTCTTCTCGATTTATCTTGCTTGCTTTCGTGAAAAATAGTATTAAAAGGGGTTGTGAAAAATTATAGTGAGAGGAATTGCTTATGAAAGGAGTAAGATAAGAATGGATGGTCGAGGAGCCTGTGTATTATTTAAAAACAGATGGTTAATGACTGGACCAAGACAAACAACGTGGCGTTGTAAAACAAGCCCTCGAAGAGAAAGAAAAATAAAAGGCCTTATGAAATACAAATGAATATGGTAACAACCGGGTGTCAGCGCGTCCTCTTGTTACAAAGCTTCCAATCCTGAAATCTTAAACGAACAATTCGATACGGGGCAAAATAACGTTAAACGTGTCACAAATGGTCGAATCGTTTAGAGGACAACAATTACGCGATTATACGATTAATTTGTTAATTAATTAATTTATTTATTTTAATTTTATTTATTAATTTAATTAACTTTAATTTCATTTATTAATTTAATTAATTTTTGTTTATTTTAATTAATTAAATTAATCTATTTTATTGTAATTCCGTATTTTATTTACTTCTTGACAGTAAGATACAAGAAGTAATTAACGGAAATCGAATGATGAATGAATGATTCATAGATTAAACAGACATTGCTGTATAATCGATGAATAGGTCATCTAATCATTGCATTAACGACACAATTGTTATTATTATTAATAATTCATTACCCGTGACAAAACGTTTATTGAAACATTTCAATGATGTAGAATGTCGGATGAATGTAATTTGCTTATTTTCTCGCTAATGCCAGAGAGGCGATGCTCTAATACGAACTTAGGGAAACACAGTTCTGTTTAATTAACGATACGAGTGCGGTCAGAACATTTGCGCAGAAAAGATTCAATCCTTTCGTATTGCATCTCCAAGCTCAAGCGATACAACGGACGCCAGTCTTCAATTAGAACGATATCATCTATTGAGTATGAAAATTTAACCGGTTCGTAGAAGTCCAAACATTATCACGGTGAAAAGGAGAGAAAAATTTCACTATAACTCCTTGTTGCACAATAGTGCGATCTTTGTTTGTCACACGACATTATTACTGTCCTTATCCAACAGTAGTGCTCTCCTTGTCTATCATACACGATACATGTCTCTCCTTGTTGCACAATTGCACGATAATTCCCTTCGACCAAGCAAGTGCCGCCATTTACCGTAAACACTCCGTTTCAGTTCCTTCTCTCTTCCACAGATGGCAAAACATGGCTTGTCCAACATACGTTTAAAGACACAGAGCCCAATTTTTGTTTACGGATATACCACGTTTCGCCATCTATGAGGTGGTAAAGGAACTGAAACTTGGAGCGTTTACAGATAGATAGCAGACCAAGCAAGTGCCGCCATTTACCGTAAACACTCCAAGTTTCAGTTCCTCCTCTCTTCCACAGATGGCAAAACATGGCTTGTCCAACATACGTTTAAAGACACAGAGCCCAATTTTTGTTTACGGATATACCACGTTTCGCCATCTATGAGGTGGTAAAGGAACTGAAACTTGGAGCGTTTACAGATAGATAGCAAAACGTGGCATGTCCGGAGACAAAAATTGGGCTATGCGCCCTGAAATGTGCTTTGGACAAGCCGCGTTCGATATTTCAAAAATTTTGCAATATTTTTTCGTAATTACTAGTCTAACTTATTTAACTAATGTTATAAGCGTGTAATGTAATACTCTTATAGATTCATTTACAATAATTTATTATTAATTATAATTATCTTTTTAATAAGAATACACGGTGAAATACATTCAACTAGACAATATATAATAATTCGCTTAAAAATGACGTATAAAAGTGCATAATACAAATATACAGACAATGCTTAAATTTATTTATAATTTCGTTGATTCTTTGAACCAGTCCTTTCATCTTCCTTCATCTTTGATTGAAGGTGAAAGCACGTTACGCTAGTGTCTTCACCTTTTTTGCATTTGAAAAAATTTTTCTATTTATTGATTATTATTAAAGTAATATTTTAATCTTCGTATTGTCTAATCAATTCTTGCATTCATAAACTATCAGCATCTGTATATCACAAGATATTCGTACATATTATAAACAATTTAAATCGTAATAAGTCAAGAATACATATATTATAAGATATAACGCATTATACTATATCCCATTTATTCCATCTACTATCATTTACATTGTCTAACTTGCAAATACATACATATGTATATATATATGGATTTTGTTAATAGTCATCTGTATTAATTAACTTACCTGTATTAACAATAATCCCTGAAATTAGCCGACATGACCAACGGTTACTTTCTACTTATAAATCAACAGTACAAAGAATCGATAACGGCTGGATGGACGTGATTCATTTACATAGTCACGAAATAAGAGTGTTTCGCTTTGATTGAATTAATTATGCCTTCTCGAGGCGAAGATATACTTAAGGGCTTCCAGGTGTATCCTTTTTCTCGTGTAACAAAGTTATTTACCTGTTGCAAACAAATCGCATATAAACGTGACAATTTATAGGTTAAAATCAACTATGATAAAATTAACTTTACTTATTTTATGATATTAATTTACACACAGTATTGCGTTCCTTAACTGTTATTTGTTACAGTAATTGGATGAATTTACGAGATGCTGATAATGGCAAAATATTATGGCAAGGTAACGAAGATTTGTAAGTAGATAATAACCTATACGATTTCTGATAACGTTACAATGATAAGATCTTCGTATTAACAATAGAATTGATTGTATAAAGGTCTGTACCTGAGGTCGAACATGAAGCAAGAGTACCTAAAAGAATTCTAAAGTGTCGTGCAATATCACGAGAAATTAATTTTAGTTCTGCAGAACCAATGGAAAGGTTTAGGTTAGAACAGAAAGTGTTGTTTAAAGGCAGATGCTTAGAGGAATGGTTCTTTGAATTTGGATTTGTTATACCTAACAGTACTAATACGTGGCAAAGTTTAATTCAAGCTGCTCCAGAAAGTCAAATGATGCCTGCTAACATCTTAAAGCAAGTATAATGTTATTGTTATAATTTTCTGTTTCGACATCATTCATTTATAATTGGTCCTTTCTTATCCATATTCAGTGGGAATGTTGTGATAGAGACAAAATTTTTCGACGATGATCTATTAGTCTCTACCAGCAAGGTTCGCCTTTTTTACGTCTAAATGTTTTATTCTACTTTAATGATATGACGTGGGTCCAACTAATGTGTTTCAACGTGCACACATGAGATGGAGTACTGAAGATGATAATAATCTTAAACAAAGTTCATATTGAACATTTTACTTCATGCACCTACTGTGATACGCACTGTGCTAAATATATTTTCTCACATTTTCATGAGTAAAACAAATGGCACTATTTCAGTTTTATATAAGCTAAAAAAGTGTTACTATAGCAATATTTGAGATGTGCACTTTTAAGGCACGATACACCTTTATTTAAATATAAATGGATGTAGCAGATTTTGTACATATTGTAATACACTACACTGTTCTAATAAAAAGATGTATAAAAGCTTTATGTCTTCGATAGTACATTCTAATCTTCTCCTCTTATTGCTTTCCATAAAATAAGAATCGTAACTAAATATTTCGTAAACGTAAAACGCTTTCAAAATAATCTCTTATGATTAATACCAAAAGATCGATGATAATATACGATCGTGCGAGTATCAATCTCTCACAAAATAGTTAATGATCACATGGGGAAAACTAGATATACCGTTTTTCTGGTGTACATTCATGCTATTGATTCGTGGTGTATAAGCAATACATTTTTGAGGCTTCACTACCCCTCTTGAGGGAGTTCATGTTGAATATACTCTGTCCCCTACCCTATCTACGTCGTACAGGTGTAAGGAAAAAAAGGAGGAAAAGAGAAAAGAAATAGCAGAGTTGCGGAGTCGCTGTGGTACCCACACGAACTTCTCAACCTGGTAGTGATTCAATTACCATTAGTCTATCTTTCATTCGGTGTAACGTCTGTCTCGTCTATTCTGTGTTTGATTAATTAAACAACGGAAGCTAAATATTGCAATGGATTTAAAGGAAGAAGACGAAAGTGCAAACGAAAATAGTAGACAACTGTTTTTGGTGGGTGCACCGCGCGATCCTTTAGTATCCACTGGAGCGATCGTCGCTTCCGCTGGAGCACCAGACGAGATCAACCCCGGAGGAGATCTACAGTCGACTGCTCTGGCTGGTCTGATAGGCGCTCAATCTTCCTCAGTTTGCTTTCCTACAAAATTCTGTAAGTGCACCCTGCCACCCCAGACCTGATTTAATTAACTGCCACTCTCTACCTGTCGACTCGTAAGTTGGGGCAGTCCTCAATTAAATTATTGCTAAATGCATTAAGCGAATCGGCAGCCCTTGTTTTAAATAGAGTTAGTGGTAATCAGTTTAACAGTTATGAATCATTTTACGCCATTCAACATGATTAAGTGCAATGAGGAAGCAGCGTGTGAATCCCCGAATCAATTCATTAATTTCCGTAATGTTTTGCACCGACTGTACTTCGGTTGAAGATGAAACGGTTACATTAAATCCGCGATATTATACGCTTAATTTCACACAAAGTTTATCAAGTATAATAATGTTGAGAAAAACGATAAACTTTTGTAGCGTATGACTTTTCACCAAGTCCGGGAAGCGAGGATAGACAATCAACTGGAGTTGGAAAAAGGAAACAGCGGAGATACCGCACCACATTTACAAACTTTCAATTAGAAGAATTAGAAAGAGCGTTTCAGAAGACACATTATCCTGATGTATTTTTTAGAGAAGAGCTTGCTCTACGTATCCAATTGACAGAAGCAAGGGTACAGGTATATAATAGAGATGTATTCTATTGCTTCGGAAAATGCAATTGATAATTATTAATCAGATTCAACAATTTGCTTATGCCATATAGGTATGGTTTCAAAACAGAAGAGCAAAGTGGCGAAAACAAGAAAAACAATGTAAAGTAACCACTCACTTGACCTCGCATATGCCACCTTCTGAATGTCAGGAAGTACAACAACAGCAGCAACAGCAGCAACAATCAGATCATTTGTTACTGGAACCACCATTGGGTAGCCCACCACCTATATATCTTGGCATGGAATGGGCAGGGTTTTCACCATATAGTAACACAGCCACTACATCACCTCTTGTGGTTAATAGTATGAATAAGCCATTAGAATCAGAGGCAGATGACAATCCTTTGCTGGATCCAGAACTGTTACAACTAAAAACTCCACGTTCCTAATAGTACCAATCCAAATCTATGCTGTAGTGGAACTGATTAATAACATTCCTTATATTATGTAACATTTTTAAAGAGCAAAGTGTCTGATGCAAACAATTCTTTGCAATGTCACTTAAATCTCACCATGTATCGTGCAATATATGGCCATCAAAAGTGTCATGTACATTACTACCAGTTTTAACTGGTATGTTATAATTTCAAGATGAGGGACCAGAGACTTATTATAAGAAATGATATAAAAATTAAAATTCAAATATGCTTGGAATATTGTTACATAATTTTGTAAAAATATATAGATTTATTCTTCATATGGATTCAATGAATCTCAAAACGAGTAGTAATAATTGTACGTTATATCAAAATCAGAAATTAAATTTTTATTCTTGGGAAACCAATGAAATTGTTCCAGCATAAAATAGTAATCATCTTTATTCCGTGCACATATATTATAAGTCATTGAATAAACTAAGTTATTAATCAATTGATTTAGGAGCAAGAAAGCAATTCAGGATGCTTTTTTTGATCTTCCAAATCTTAGATTTGGTTTGGGCATTATCATTCGAAAAAGTATTGTTCATTTCTATAAAGATGTATCCGACCAAATAAAATTTGGAATTATCAATCGTTTTACTAAAACATTAGTAAAAATTATTGTATTACGAACGATCACAAAGCACCCTGAATGAAATAAATTAATGATTGTGTCAAGTGGTACAATAAAATCATGCGACGTACGAATACTCATCTGCATTATTTGGCGTACGTTCGATATATTGCTTATCTATAAGAGCTTCAATACATTTTTTGATCATGCTGATTGATGGTGCAAATGTAACCTTAGATTGACTTAGTACCTGGAATCGTATTAGTACGTTCAGTTACATCGTGTTTAGATAACTCCCATGTATCATGTCAAAATAAAACTCACCTCTTGCACGAGTTGATTGTGTCTCAAAACCTTACGACTCTTCATAATACGAACTATAGCTGCTTGCAGGTACAATTTTCTGTCATCGTCGACGCTACGATGTGTAGTTTCGACATCGTGACACTCGTTCGGTACATCCCGTTGCAACGTACCAGTTATACGGAATTTCGTTCTTTTATTATAATAATCGAAATTGAGCGTCAAAGTCGTATCTTCTTCTAATTCTCCATCTGTTGATTTTTTCAAAATTTTACAATCAACCAAACTGGTCGCGTGTTTAACTAATTGATCATGCGATAAGTGTAATGATGCAGCGGCTTCTCTGCACTGTATCGAATCACAATGCTCGAAAAGAAGCAGCAGTGCCATTTGGTATGTTTGTACAGTTACCAAATAAGGTTTCTTTAAGTAATTGAACTTGAGTTCACCTTGACACAGGTGATGTAACCAAGTGAGTTTTCGACCGTTAAATTGCGCGTGATAAAAAGTTTCGAATGCCTGTATGGACTTTTCTAGTTGTTGAGGAATATCGAATGGTCCTGAAGATGGTGGTAAACCCAATGGCCAAGCTCCTGCTTGTAACACATATACTACAAAACCGATGCCTAATTGATTTTCTCTATCTCCTTCTCGTAAGCTCGTTGTAAACTTAGCATTTAAGTCCGCTGAAACTGACATATCGGTGAACATTCGATGTAATTTATTCGTAAATTCATAACCGCAAGCTTGTTTTAAACGATCAATCATTGATTCTTCGGCATCCATCGATTGCGATTGTTGGTGTATTAATCTCTTCGCTAACATTCGTGCGTAAAACTTCTGAAAAACATCCTTATCATCAATGTATTTGAACACGGTAATACAATGTGCTAGTTTCTCTTCAACTTCTCCTTCCGATGCCGCCTTCGCAGATTTTTTTAACAGAGAATCGCAATATTTAGCGAACTAAATTGAAATATTACAAATTAAAAAAATTAAACAAATTGCGTTGAAATACCACTATTTAAAGTACTTACTAGCTCAGGTGCTCTAGCTGGTTGCCGTGGAGCAGGCCTATGATTCACGACAACCGAACATGCTTTATCGAGAGCAGTTACAAAAGCTTGATCGCCTCTGAACACATCTTTGATCAATTCCGAATATTTACGATGCACATCCAACATAATTTCCACGAATTGCGTGTGTATCTACATTATGCAGTTATCAAATAATAAAACAATTTCATAGAAAATAAAATTACATTTAGTATTGTCATATTTCTTACATTTTCTCCCTGTAAAGAGCTAATTGCTTGTAATCCTTGCTGAGTAATGTGTTCAGTAAATTTTTGTACAAGTGTCGTCAGACCTGAAGGTAATGGCCTTAACAATGGATACAAGAGGCTCAAATCTCTTTTACGTTCGTACTCTATCATCCTTTGCCCTTCCCAATGAAACCACGCTACATGCGTGGCTATCATTTTTCCTTCGCAGTATTGTCTCACCTACAATATATTATTGTTAAACGATCGATCACTTTAATTTAACGTACATTATATTTAATATATAAAAATATACTTTAGGCACAGAGCTTGCATGAAGAAACTTATGGGCACGAAGTTCCTCCTGCATGAGTCGCCATGTCACTCTTTCCATGTAATGGGTTACATCCGATTGTTGAAGTAAATCGCTTGCTTCTTTCATATAAAATTCTCCACTAGCCTCAAGAAAAGGTGTTTCAAAAATTTCTTGGTACATCTAAAGCAAAACACATTATATAAAAAGTTTTGCAAGGAACATATATTACACTAAAGAAAACTAAGTAGCACAATAGAAATCCTTACATCTAATTGTCCCTTCATTTTATATTCCTCAACCCGAACAAAACTCTGTATCACACCACAAATAACTTCTGTACTTGCTGTGGGAGATGTACCAACTCTATCTGCATGAATGTTATCTAACAATAGCGAGACAAGCTGTTTTCTTAATGGCATAATCATTCTTGTTTTCCAAATATCTAAACCTAACTCTCCTATTTCCATTTGTTCTTGGCAATCAACAATCGTAGTGGAAGACATGCCATAAATCAGTTCTGCCTCCGAAAGTTTCTGTTTTTTAATATGTTGTTGATTCAAATATAAGTACAAGCAATGCAAGTAATTAATGCCCTGTGAATATTCTGTCCAGGCTTGATGATATGCCTGCAGTAAACTAGATTCACCTTGGGCACGAACTTTTGCTAACAATTGGAAGACATGATTGTCTAGAAATCTTTTTGTTTCACAATACAATTGATCAGCAAGTGGTTCTGGATATGCCACACATAATGAATACACATCACTGAAACAAAATATACAAAACATATACATAATGTCAAAATATATAACTACTTTAATACTCTGAAAATAACCAGAAGATATCATAAAGTACCTGAATCTATCATACCATGTTGCACGTGGAACATAAGATAATGTTATTACACACTTTACAGTCTCTTGTAATGCTTCCCATGTTTGAGTAAAATCAACTCGTTTAGGCTTTAGTGACATTCTTTTATACAATCAACAAAATATCAAAGACTTATAACACCAAAGAGTTAATTATATAAATTCTATAATATAATTATCAAACCTCTAAACCTACAAAAAGATAATATATTGATTACAATCTCATAAGTAATAACAGAAGAAAGATAAGAAGAAATTTGCACTAATTAAATATATGTTAAAAGTCACGGAATTAAAGAATATTAAAGCCAAACACTTAAAATATATTCCAAGAATAATCTTTTAACTATATACAAAGACTGAAACTACAAGGCTTAGTCCAAGTGTTTTGTATATCAGTGGTTTAAAAATAACATAAAAGTAAAATACATCGCGAGTGCACTTTTATTTCATGGTCGTCTGAAATTTTTTTCATTCAATCGTATTTGACGCAGCGCATACGACCAGCAAATTATTTCTTGTAACACTTTTCTAGAAGTAGATCGAGTTAATCAGCACTCAAAATAGCGCCTGTACATTTGTATCAAAAGATATGAACCGTTCGTAAATTATCGTCAAATGCGGACTAAGAACGATCATTTTGTGTTGCAATTGTATCGTATTAGACCTTATTATGGTTAAATTCAAATGATATGTTTAATTGATCATCGAACTATAATAAACTATAAAATGCACGTGTAAACGCGTGTTGCAAGTTACAGCTGACTGGTTGTATCCAGATGGTTTTGATCGAAACCACTAACCAAAAACTTGTAGGAAGAGTGATCTGTATTCTTCGGAATACAACTGCCAATTGATATTAACTCCTATCAAGATAAATTCTATGAAAATTCTTCTTCCGCTAATTCGAAAATCATTCCCAGTTGCAAAATTCATGGCATTTACAATGACTCGTCTTGATCGAACACATTTTCTCTCTCTTTCTCTTTCTCTTTCGCCCTCGTTCGTTTTCCACCTCTGGTTTTAACTTTGGCTATCACTTTTATGAAACGTTTATTTAAAAAAGGACTTTGAACCCACAAAAAATATAAACTTTCTTCTTTACAATAGACAACGAATCAAATGCGAAACATTAAACGGCTTCGAATTTCTCAATAACATTGCAGAACCATGTTTTCCCCTTTTATCTTGACTTTCTGAGATCTTGGAGGGGATGATGGAATATACTATCTAGAGGCTCTACTCTCAATCTCAATAGAGGAATACATTATATTGCTCTTATGTAAATAAAAAATTTATGCAATATATTGCATTTTATTTACTTAGGATCATTATTCCCGTTATAAAAACACCTCCTAAGCATGTTTAATATACCTCGATGCAATCCAGAAGTTATGTAAAAGATTATTGGATTTTAGAGAATCAAAAACTTAAGATGATACTGATTTTCCCGCATATTTTTTTGAAAATATGTATAAAATATCAAGAAATTCTATTAATTATAATATGAGTCTAAATACGAACATTATATATTATTAGTGATCATTAAACAAAGTGAGTTATGTAAATTTATGTTTATAACTTACAACGAAAAAGAAAATCGAAGTTCTATACATTATATGTTTCGTGACATAAGTTGCGCTTCGAATATAGAACTTCAGGGTACATTTTGCAGTAATATCGCATTTAATTGTTGGTGAATTCTTCGGGACCGTCTAAAAATGGTAATTTTTCGTATATTAAATTCTTGGTACATCTCTTCGATTTTTTAAAACGTTGGTTACTGTCATACTCTAATATTTTAAAATAATATAAAGTAAAAAAGAGGTTATGTTGCTGTCAAATACGTTAATGACATTGCACGTTTTATAAACTATGCTAAAGCGATATAACTATGTTATAAATGAAATTTTATTTTATTAATTAGTTAAAAATCTGAGTTAATTGAAATGAATTATGTTAATAGGATAAATTTACCTATCACAATTTTATTTATTTGTGATTCTTTTCAGAGTATTTTAGCCTATAATGGTGGAGCTATCATAGCAATGAAAGGCAAGAATTGTGTAGCAATAGCTGCTGATCGCAGATTTGGTATTCAAGCACAGACCATAACATGTGATTTTCAAAAGATCTTTGAAATGGGATCTCACTTATATCTTAGCCTTCCTGGTCTTGCCACCGATACTCAAACTGTAATGGAAAAGTTAAGATTTAGATTAAATCTTTATGAGTTGAAGGAAAATAGGAAGATACATCCTAAAACATTTGCATCAATGGTATCAAATTTATTGTACGAGAGAAGATTTGGACCTTATTTTGTAGAGCCCGTCATTGCTGGATTAAGTCCTGTTACTTATGAACCATTTGTTTGTAATGTGGATTTGATAGGATGTATAAGTCCATCAGATGATTTTGTGGTTGGCGGAACATGTAGTGAGCAGCTATATGGAATGTGTGAATCGCTTTATGAGCCAGATATGGAGCCAGATGATCTTTTTGAAACAATCAGCCAAGCATTGGTAAATGCATGTGACAGAGATGCAATATCTGGTTGGGGTGCTATTGTTTACATAATGTAGGTTATTTTAATCTCTATGTTTTTCTTCCTTTCTTTTTTGTTTTAAGATACTAAGATATCAATTAATTTTTAATTACAGAGAAAAAGATAAAGTTACAACCAGGACTATTAAGACACGAATGGATTAAAATACTTTTAAATACGTTTGTATTGTATACCAATATAAAATCTTTTATTAAGAGGAACATATATTGTTTAAATAAATTAATCATTTTCAACGAACAAAATGTAAAATCTGAATTTTGTTATTTCTTATTTTATGCATTTATAATTATTTGTTTTATCCATATGGGTAACAGTTTCTATACGTGTACGCCACCATATTTTTTTTAAAGTAAATGAGGTTATGTTCTGGATCGGTCAGTACTTCAGCTTGATACATAGAATATTAATATTTTAATTTTGCTTCTGTTTATAAAAATATGTAAAAAAGAATTACAATGGCTGTTAGCAGATTGTGTGCAGCATTTCGACAAATAACAATAAAGGGAGAAAGTATGTAAAGTACATGATTTTTATATACAATTTTATATTGCAGAGAAGATAACCTAATACAAAACATAACTATGGATTATTTTAGGTAATTTCATCGCGAGATATTACTCTTCCCATATGTTAAAAGGATCCAATAATACCTTGCATTTTTCTAATTTTTCTAAAAATGCATTAATTGTAACTCCTTCAAACGTGCATATTAGATTTATACCAAAAACACTTGATATAGATTTTAGAAATCCAGACAGTACTACTAAAAAAAGTATATATGAAATACCATTATCAAGATATATACCATCAATGGAAGAACCTTTAATAAAACAGCCTACTAAACAGGATTTACCATTAACAAATACATCTTTTGAACTTCCTACAACAGAAAATATGTTAGAAAAATTAGCTGTACGTTTAATAGTAATTAGAAGAAAAAAGATGAAGAAACACAAAAGAAGGAAACTGCGTAAAAGAATGAAGTTTGTGTGGGCGAAGATAAGAGTAAATCGTAATGCAGCAAAGGAAAAGGTATTTCAAGCAGAATTAATTGCGCAAATTAAAGAAGCTCACATGTTCGATCCTAAAAAATATGTTGAAGAAAGACTTGCAATTTTGGATAAAGAAATATTACCGAGAACATTTAAAGGTGAAATATTGCCTGAAGACATGATTAAAAAATTCATACAAGAAAAAGTAGAAAAACGAATGAGAAAACGTAATAGACCACATTTAACACTTGATTAAATATATATATTGGACACATAATTGTTTATCACTATAGAAATAAATAATATACTTTGATTCTCTATGCAGATATGCAAAATAAATTTTTAATGTTTAAAAATTGAAGAGTGTATTATTTTTTTGGGGAGACAGAACAGTGTTTGTGACATTAGGATCATAGAGGTAGAATATGACTCTAAACTACACAATAAATATATTAAAAATGTTTAATTTAACTTATAGAATAGTTTGCATTGTTGGAACTTGGGTACATTGTCACACCATGTTTGTTTACAAATGTTTCTTATATAGCTTGTTAACTGTATGTTATCTTCTTGTCACATATATACAAATATTATAATACTATAACAATAAATAGCACCTTTCGGATTTTGTGCGCATATTAAAACATCTGTAAAGCATGTACATATTTTGTCTCCTTTCTTCCCTCTGTTCGTTTTTTGACGAGTAGATTTGATCCTGTCAATAACTCTTACAAAAATATATCTTATTACTACTATTTCATTAAAAAAGTTATGTAGTATTTAAATTACCTGAATATTTTATCAATAAATAGATATCGTCGCAAATTAAAATTATCTTACTTAAAAACGAAAAATAAAATATCAGGATATCGATAATTGAAGTCTTAATATGATTTAATAGATCTTCATTGATTTTTGAAGTCTTTTGATCACGTTACCAGTTCCGATGTCTTGTTACAAGACGAATATATATATATAATACCATTTTTCTGTTGTTTAAATTAAAACTACTCTTTGATAATAATATAAGAATTAATCTTGATTAGTAATAATAAAACATAGCCATGTAACTTTTGTGTTTGTTCAATGGAAGACAGATTCGTTAATTTATATCTATTAAAATGTTGACTGTGCGAGTAATTCAAGGCAATATCTGACCCTTTTTCGCTTCTAACATCTTTGGCTTATGTCTACCTATACTTCCGGTTCTTAAGTCATCGTTCCTTCCGGAAAAATAATCTTCTATTTCTTGAAGCGTTTTACCTTTAGTTTCGGGAAGACACAGATAAAAGTATATCGTGCCGAATAAAGATATGCAACCGTAAAGAATGAAAGTACCGTGCCGAGTAATTGAGCTAGCCAAAAATGGATACGTTTTAACTACTGTAAAGATAAAAGAGTGGGCTGCCATTGTAGTCAAACCTCCGATAATACCGCGTACTTGTGTTGGATACACTTCGCCTATCATTACCCAAGGAATAACAAGGAAACCAAGAGTGCAAGTTATAGTGTATGAAAATATACATAAAACAGGAAACCAAGTAGCAATAAGTTGAAAATTATTCGTAATCCAGTAGTTTCTTAACCACATATATCCACCTAATCCTATCATGGAAAGTCCACAACCAACGGAAGAAACCATCGTGAGAGGTCTTCGTCCACATTTTTTACATAAGATACAAGCGACAATGGTTGATGCTAATCTAACTATCCCGAGAATTACTGCAGCTAAGTACTTGTTTAACGTTGCCCCTGAATCTTGGAAAATTTCAACGGCATAAAAAGTTATAACGTTTGTACCTGACCACTGGTATATTAAAAAGTATAAAAATAACAGAGTAAATGGTTTAACAGCATTAGGTTTTAACAGAGCGTTGACTATCTCACGAAATCCTGTTAGTCGCTTGATATTGTTCTTATTTGAAAAATTGATAAGTGTCTCCATTTCTTGATTAATATTACATGTACTACCACGAAACTGTTGTAATGCTTCGCGTGCTTTGTCAGGTCTACTACGAGACATAAGATACGACGGTGTCTCAGGAAATAGAAACATCAACAGTAAAGCGGCAAGAGGTAAAATCCCACTAACAGCTGCACAGATGTTCCACGTAAGTACGCTTCCTAATAAATACTCGATTAGAACACCGGTGCTGACCCCGATACTTGCAAAAGCGGTCAACATTCCTCGTAGATGGGGTTGAGTCACTTCTCCCGTGTAGACGCGAGCTGGAGCACCAACCATGCCCGATCCAAGTCCTACGAAGAATCTTCCAGCGTATATCATATGAATATTAGTTGCAAATGCAATTAATATCCACCCAAGTAGTGCAGGAATCTCTGTGATAATGAGAGATAGTTTCCTTCCAAGTACATCCATCATGTATCCAGACATCAAACATCCGATGGGAGTTCCAATAGAAGACATACTAGCTGTAGCGAAAGCATAGTTTGTTATAACCATGATCATACGATTTTACGAATCTTAATTAAATGGTATTAATTTACCGATCCATGATTCCTCGGATGAACCTTCGACGATGGGAATGGTGCTATTTGGTTCTTGAAGTTGCGGGAGAGCGATGGCAGAGAAACCAAAGGTCATACCAGTGTTGATAGTCCCAAGTTGTGCTACTACTGCTGCCAGAACTTGCCTGACAACGCTCCCATTAACAATACGACCATTTTCTGGATCACTGCTTGCATTGTTTGTCGCTAGCATAGGTTGTACATCTTCCAAACGATTGGATGACTGAATTTTTGGAAGTATCTTTGACTCCACCAACGATGACTTCTCTGAGTTTTGGATGTCACCATTTTTTCTGCAATAAATAATTCATTTTGTATTAATATCCGCCTTGTTAAATATTTCCGTGAAATGAGATCACCTACACGATATGAATTTATGTAATGAAATAGACAAATAGTTTTAATTTATTTGCATTTGGAAACATTTGGATCGATCTAAAGTAAAACACGCAGTGATATATATACTTTTCTGTATGTAACACAACGTATCCAGTTTAGTTATTTATCCATGAGCTGAGAGATAATTAGTTTTACTCGATACAGATAAAGCGTGCGTCACATGTGAAACTGCATATCGGTATTTACTTGAGAATCACCTTTTTGAAGAAAATAAAAGACGCATATATACACGCATCCATTGAAAATTAATCTTTTCTGCATTAATGAACCCTTGTTATCGCGTATAAGATACATACATAATAGTAACACTCGAGATAACTCGAAAATTTGGCACTGCTTTTACGTTACCAAAATAAAGCACGACCTAAATCTCGCTAGCAGCTAGAAATCGATTTATGAATTATTTCTACGAACACCATCGTGTACTTTGTAATTTAACAAAGAGCAAATCTCGTATGCAATTATAATAGCCTTGACAAAGTTCGAAGTGACTAAATAGCTGACGTGAATATTTAATGGCGAAAATTTTCTGTGGCCTGTGAACGAACTTAAAGGAGTAGGTCAATGTAATTAAGACCATCAAATCGGCAGAATAACGGAATTAACAAAGAGAACTTTGTGATATGTTGCTACGAATAGCACGCGCTGGCACAGTGGTATCTTCTTTGTTTGACAATTTCTAGAACATTAGCGAAGATGATGACGGTAAGGCGGTTGTTTAGAGCAGATTACGAGCCAATGTTAACACGAGTTATCGATAAGCGATTTTTTAAATCGGTTCAACTTCGAAAATACTCGTAGAAGCAGAACGCATACGAAGTTGAAAATTTCATAAACTTTAAAACCGAACATTTTCTTGTCGTTGATTGAAATTGCACTTTTTTCTGACCACAGCTGCTAGCAATTATATTAATGCTATCGCGGATAAGAGTATGCATAGGCATATGCTTGTATATTCTGTTATAGTGCACGCACATATATATTCGGTTATCTTTACGCACGATAGTGTAACAATAAATTAGCCGATCGTATTACAAATCGGCAGTTTTGAATTGGAAAAATATTTTGGTCAAATATGTGGGTACTTCATTATGCTCAGAATTAATAGAAAGCAGAAGTATTGTTTATAGAAAATTATAATAAACAGGCTGCCAATTTTTATGCAGATTTATATCTTTATGAATAAAATTTAACAAACCAAACCTATTATATTTTCGATATTTTACATATTTTTCCATATTATGCATATTTTCTGTACTTCCGATAAAAATCTGCAGTCTGATGCCACACAAGTATTGAAAATTATTCAACGCGATTTTCCATTTGGCAAAGTAAGATTGCGTGAAAAGACGATTGCGTAATTATTTCGCTACTTAATCCGTACTTTCCATATTTTTACATTACATTTTCTAGCGCCGTTTTGTAATGCAAATTGCTTTAAAGATTCTGTACATTTGTACGCCCATTGGGAACAAGCGGAGAACATACTTAACGTGACGCGAGCAACGCGAATGGTGCAACGATAACCGCACGGTAATGATAAATATCACTGGTGAGATTGCTTTCACATGCAGATTTGTTATTAATAAAACACAGCTGGATGCAATGTTTGCAATGTACTTGTGTGTAATCACGGCTTCGTTTCTACATACTTGTATAATACAGATCCGATCTTTGTTTATTCGTGCGCGGAAACGCTGACGGATATCAAAAGTGTATAAAACGATACAAACAATATAAAATAGTTTTTCACGATTAGATATCCTTCACTTGTATTGTATGTATTCTGATACTCTTCGAATCAGAAAATAGTCGTATATGTAGTATGTTTACTAAAAGAAACACAGTCAAAAAGAGCGTTTGAATTCATCGACGATCTTTTAAACCCGGCCTTGATTTTTATTTGCCGGCCTACATATTTTTTCGAGGAAAAAGAGAACAATAAAATGCACGTGTTTGTTCGTGGAAGCTTTCGAAGGCAAATATTAAATTTACACATCAAGTTTAAAACGCTGCTCTCCGCCTTGTCCTCGCTATCTATCGCGTACACTCAGCCGGGAGAGACTCACAAATTTTGGCACACTCGGACGGAATTATTTCTGTCCACGCGTTACATGAAAGGGTTCAAGTGTAGAGTGTGTACTCTGAACACAATCGTGTTTTGGTCGGTATATATTAATAGATCACTTACATCATGTGTTCGACAACGGAAAACAATAGGGACCAACGCCGCGGAAAATTGAACGGCGGAAATTCAATTTGTTACGGGAAGAAGTGAATTAATCGAACACCTAGTACACACGATTACGATTAGTCAACGATTGCTTCTCATCCGCAACGTTTAGTGATGCAAACGAGATTGTATTGCCTACTACTACTACTACTACTACTATTACTACTACTACTACTACTACTACTACTACTACTACTACTACTACTACTACTACTACTACTACTACTACTACTACTACTACTACTACTACTACTACTACTACTACTACTACTACTACTACTACTACTACTACTACTACTACTACTACTACTACTACTACTACTACTACTACTACTACTACTACTACTACTACTACTACTACTACTACTACTACTACTACTACTACTACTACTACTACTACTACTACTACTACTACTACTACTACTACTACTACTACTACTACTACTATTACTACTACTACTACTATTACTACTACTACTACTATTACTACTACTACTACTATTACTACTACTACTACTATTACTACTACTACTACTACTACTATTACTACTACTACTACTATTACTACTACTACTACTATTACTACTACTACTACTATTACTACTACTACTACTATTACTACTACTACTACTATTACTACTACTACTACTATTACTACTACTACTACTATTACTACTACTACTACTATTACTACTACTACTACTATTACTACTACTACTACTATTACTACTACTACTACTATTACTACTACTACTACTATTACTACTACTACTACTATTACTACTACTACTACTATTACTACTACTACTACTATTACTACTACTACTACTATTACTACTACTACTACTATTACTACTACTACTACTATTACTACTACTACTACTATTACTACTACTACTACTATTACTACTACTACTACTATTACTACTACTACTACTATTACTACTACTACTACTATTACTACTACTACTACTATTACTACTACTACTACTACTACTACTACTACTACTATTACTACTACTACTACTACTACTACTACTACTACTACTACCACGCGATCACACAGACAACATTGTTATATATCGATGATTGCGATGATGATGGATTATCGAAAATGCAAGAAGAATATATTAATACTGATATATCAAAACCGAGATTTGACAATCGAGGTCTATCAATCAACCTGTCGAACATTGTCGTTAAATACCTTCTTAAAACTCTCTATTGAACATGGTCGTATTGTTGCAAACAAAATTCCAGAAAATACTCGGGAGTACCATGAGTTCTATTCTATATCGAAGTATACAGGAATTAACGTTTATGACTTACGAAACCAGACGAGTCGAATGGATTAGAAACGTTGCTTTGTTCGCTACAACTAAGGTGTAAAATTTGAACAAAGCACCGAAGAAGTCAAATTGTGCGGCAAATGTACCTATAAGGCTTCATTCATCAAAATTCTAGACTTTCTCCAAAATAAACCACCCTTTATCTCTAAAATTGCTATGAGAAATTACAAATTGATGGTTTTAATATTAATTATGAACTCTAGTTCGCTCAGATTATCCGTAGAAAATATTTCACAGAGAAATAAGTATTGTTTGAAAATAATTGTAATATACCCACGATGCGAGCGAAACATCGAACTTTAATTGTTATATGGTTATCAATACCACTACTTAACGGTGCATATTAATAGGGTAATTATGTTAAGTCGCGGTAAATAGCCTCAATCGTTATTTGTTCGTAGCGTGTCGAATAGAAAGATCCTTCACCTAGAAAATTATCAATTGTGATTAATTATTGTTATCACAACCGAAAATGGACGTGAACGTCGCGTACTCGAGAGCTTAATTTGAATGACTTTCATCGCTCGTCAATAATTGATGACTAATGGAGACGGATTAAAAAAAGTAGCAGAATTACGAAGAAAATAAAATGTGGTTCAATTTCCTCACGTGCTCGTTATTATCTTTTATCGCTTATCCTATTAGTTAATTTAACTAATTTTCTAGAATATCCGACAAGAGCGGCGGTTGAACATATTTGATAAATTATACTTATAAATAATATTTTGTTGAGATTAAGAAAGTATCTGTAAAAATTACAACGAATCGCACGAGAGAAAGAAAAACGTGCGTCACGTTACAATCAGTCAATTACGATAAACAGTGAGAAAGTCAGGCTAACTTCCAACTGTAAGATTCTGATGAAAATTATACTAAATCATTGAAGAGAAAAACGAAATATACGCATTAAGATAAACAGTGCCAAGCTCAAAGGAATTTACAACTAGAATAGCTTAGTCAACATGTTTACGTGCTATGGGAAATTTCAATGTACGAAAGGTTATAGAATGCATCTAATACGCAAAAATATCCAAAGTACTATAGTATTTAAGAGATCAAATAAAATATTTAACGTTTGTCCTTTTAACTCTGTTCACGGGAGAGAGAGGATTTGAATAAATCTTCGTAGTTTAGTAATTATTATTGGAAAATTAACTGAAAAATTCGGCTCTTTTGAAACTTAGTGGGGAAAGCAAATTATAATTATCTAAAGTAGATTTAGTGATATACATAATTACGATTGTCCAAACGTAATTACGAGGCCAAACAATTAACACAAATTTTGCGTTATGTGTGATCGTAGGACCAGGACATTGTGCAAGTAAAAGATGTAAAACAAACATGGCACAAACGCGTACATGTACTTATATATTATGTATACACTTACTCTGCCATGGTGTTCGTCATATTGATCTTCAGTTGTCGTTTGCCTCAAACAGAACGATTTTAAAGTAAAATAAAATATGTACAAGTTATATATCACAGTCTATTAATCACAATGATATGCTCGTTATGAGAGGAAATTCGCGCATTGTTTTTCCTCCTTTCTTTTCTCTCTTCCTCCTTTTGTTTTCTTCCCGTCTTTGTTTCCTCTTTTGTTTCTCTGTCTAAACTAGTTAAATTCCGTCACCTCTAACGAAGTATCACGAAATCACGTAGCGTTTTCCGGAATAGTTTTCGTTCTCTCAAGAAATTCTTGATACGCCAATTATTCGCCCTATCTCGTAGAATCCCACTTGTATCTTTTTCCATGGACAATATATGAACATTGACGGTCGTGATTGTTTCTGCTTTTCTTCTTTCTTTGACGTTGATTTCTTCTTGCGGTAGGAAATTTTGTTAGTGAAAATCGTAATCAAGCAAACAAGAAAAAAGAAAGAGGAAATCACAACGAGTAGAAACAGGAAAACACTTGTGTAGAAACAGCAGGAACGAAAAAGAAATTACTTTTATTCATCCCTTCTTGGACGACGCGCGCAAAGCGAATGTACTTACGACAACTGCCGGTAAAGCTTTATATAAGCAGAAGCGACCGACCTTTTGGTTGGTCGAGTTCCCGCTGACTTGCGCAGTAGAAAGACGCGCGAATTTTGTCCGCGCGCACATGCGTCCTTCGAGCTGCCGCGTGCTCGCGAAAATTTCTTGAAAAAATGAAACTCGATCCAATTTATCACATCAATGAAGAAAATTCGCTAAAAAAAAAAATACTTTTATTGATATACCAATCAAAAGCTATTAAACAGAATTAAGCAGTGTGCTACAAATTTTGAGGCAAGATATTCTGAAAAATTGTAAAAAATATTGCAAGAGTTGTAAATAGTATGTTAAAAATTCTAGAAAGATATACTTGATAAAAAAAATTGCTAAAAATCACTCGAACGAATGCTAATTCTACCACTGTTATTCCGATTGTATTTTCAGGCATTACTTGCTAATAATAATATGGAAATTGGATATGGAATTTCAGTTTACCACAAACAACGTGTTCATATTGACTGAGTGTAAAAATAAAATATTACTAACCGGTCTGTCAGATGAGAAAAAAAGGACATGTTAAATTCTGATTTCTTTCCGAATCGAAAGTATACTCTGTAAAGCGCAATCTACATTCGTATCGATAAGAACAATCGCGAGGATTTGATCATTTGTTTATCTGAGAAAAATAGGACCGTATCGCTTGTCGCTTCTAGAACTCGTGACTGAATTTGTCACGATGGTTGTTTGTGAATTAAGATATTGATGTCTCCTCCGTATGGAGCTAAATGTGCAAAATGAGATAACGGATAAGCAGAAATTCTTTTTTGGCACGTTTTCGTAAAGTTGCTCTCATCAAGAGATAAAATCTTTTCATAAAATCCCGAGGAACAATATTTAGATATCAAACAACATTAAAAACTAACTTGTTATTTTATCGCAAACATGATGGTCTAGAGAAATATATTCTTACTCGTCTGCATCATGTCTGCACGTCGTATCGTAAGAACAGAAAATTTTCGTAATGATATTGTATTCACTTCTCTTGTATTTTAAGATTTCTTCTAATTTTATATTATCTATATTTTGGTTTATTTTCGTACGATGACGAATCGTACATACACTAAAACATACTACAAAACATGGTCGTACATAGAGATAAGCTAGACGAATAGTTCATCTCATACAAATACTGTAATCATAGAGCATGACGCTTTTACCAATAGACAAATAATCAGGCTTTTATATAATTCTTTATCGAAGATAGCTTTATATATACTCTATATTCTAGCTATGCATTTATAATCTGAAGCTCAGCGCGTGTCTTCATTCATATCTTTCAAACAAGTCCTTTAAGCCACGATTTTACTGAAGATAATTCAAGATACCAGAAGACTGATAAAGAAACTGCATCGATTTCCTCTTGACACAAAAATGATATCTACTTTCTCAATTTTTAATCCATGGAATTACTACATAAATCATCAATAAAAATTCTCACAACACTCGAGATAATTAAGCCGCGAAAGGTTAATCACACAAGAAGTTACACTAAGCACGATTAGTTTAGACCTTCTCCCCTCTAATTAAAATGAGTATTCCAGAGAAGGAAAATATTCGTGATCGTGACGAATTTTACGTAAAAGCATTCCCACTGGTCTTTAAATGTTCCCAATAGACTTTTTTCAAGCTAGAACCATAATTAGACAATTACCCACCATATTACCGATCGATTCACCTAGTGGACATGGAGAATGGCCGAACGAACCAGTTAAATCATCGATTGAAAAGAGCACACGGTCAACCTCGAATTTATCTGATCTTTTTACCTTTCAAAAATGCATCGGTGAAAGAATGTTCTCATAGAGTAAGTACTTACTCGCTGAGAGACATACACTCGTCTGTAAATGTCTCGTAATTCCGGTTCCTGGACATGTTGACGAAGGACTGAACACGTTTGTCGGTTGTTGCGGTCGATTAAATTATTCTCGGTGGGTTATCGAGCCTGCTGTCACGAGTTTTCTCATATCAAGCTGCAGTCATGTGCCTCTTACGTCTTTTCTGTCTTGTTTTATTTAATTTCACTTATTTTCATGCCGGGAGTAACATCTTCGTTTAACTAGGCACGTTAGACAATGCGAGAAAATGATCCATCTATCTACCCTTTTCGTTGATCTTCGGCGATCCTACGAAATCGTGGATAATTCACGTCGAAATAATACTCCATTAGAATTAAAAATCATTTTTTAAATAAAATTTTCTATACAAAAATGTATCTTTCTACACGCTATGAATTTTCTAAGCATTCAACAACTTTTCCACTGTGACAAGTCGGTGCTGTTATTGGATCATAAATGCGCTCTTATCGACGATGTCGATAACGCACTATTGTCGGAAACAGATTACATATTTTTTACGTAAATTTAATCGAAATTCTTGCCATGGAATCGTAGCAATATTTCTGGTTTCTCTCGCGTTTCATTGAATTAATTTTCTTATTCTCCGGCAAGAGGTCACTTGCAATCTTGAAAACGACCGCCCTTTTTATGTAAGAAGATTTGTAAACAACTAATTTTTAGTAAAGTTGAAAGAAGTATCGCTATTCATCGAAATCGAAATCATTATCGATCTTCTGTCGTAAACACTTGAAAATTTCATTTGAAAAATGAAACAAGACGCAAGACACGACAAAATTTGGAGGAATTCGGAAATTAATTTACCTGCGTCAATGTCTGACGGATTTTCACACTGATCTTGTACTTATTTGTGTACCACGTCGCGTACCAAAACGCGTCAATAGGATGAATTCCTGAATGGACGGCAGCTATGCTTCTTATTTGACTCTCGTTGCGACACCTTTTGCATCGAATGAAAATAATATGAGATCATGTGGAATTAATATTCAGACACCGCGTTCAGATTAAAGCATGTTGCACAATCGTTCGTGTTCTGCAACGATGCACGACGCCTATGTCCTTCTAAGTTACTTGCATAATTCTAAAAGAAACAAATGATCGGAGAAAATATATCAACCGTATCGATGCGTGGTCGCTGCTTCTTCACCAAGCAAACAAAGTTTTTCTCGAAAAAAAAAAGATATTTCCCTTAGTGAAATTTTTCATAAAGAAAATAGAAATTTCATCGTTAAAAAGAATCTACGTCGAATGGTTGAATTTTAGATAATAATAATTAGACTATCTATTAAATTTTAATTCTGGTTTTGGAAATTCTGCTTTTGGATTTTCTCCTTTTTTTTAAATTAAAATACTGAGAAGTAGAGACGAGAAATATCTATGGATTTATCTATATTAATCGTCTTGATTGCATAATTATTCAATTAAAGATGCAGGAACCTTGACATTACATAGTAAGAAATTCAATTCGCAAATTATTCCAGACACATACTTCAAATTAATATTACTTCTTTAAGTCTTATACTTGCGATTTTCCATTTACTTTCTGGCAAATATATACTTACCGAAGATGTGATATTTACACAGAACGCTTAAAGAATGAATAATTAAAACATAAAGATATGTATGTACATATTCAACTAACTCTGCAACATTCTGTTTTTGCACATGCAGATATTTATTTGCATGAAATTATATCTAGAAAAAACGAGAAATTTATGCAAATAACTCGGATATCACGGAAGAGAAGGACTAAAAATGTAGAGGTCCTGACTTCAAGAAACAAATTATTGGGGACGCTAATTGGACAGGTTCCCAACAGCTGGAGAAACACTGAAACATTGATGAAATCGGCGCAATTGATCGATTGTTTCTTGATTTACGATTCCGCCAAGCTTATAAATTATGTAATATCGCATCGAAAATGAGATCGAGTTCGAATTGGTCTTCGATCGATCGACCTGAATTTATTTTCACATACGTGTATCGGCGGACTTCACTGATGGAGTTTACCCGAGCAACGTGACTTTGAACTTTTTATTAACTCGTTTTCATTACTGTCACGTTAAGTTTCACTGGTTACTTTCAATTGACATAAGAATGATGACCAAGCAAACAGGAAATGTTCAAAGATTTTATTAGTGTGACTAGCTGCGTATAGTCTTTGTTATGCGAGATAGAAATATTCAATTTTAATCCGTATTAACGGTGAAATAAAAATCCCAATTATATAAAATTGTAAATATAGTTCTCAGTATATTACCTTTTTTGTTTATTCTTCAAATTATCAATAAGTTTCTAAACATTTCTATAGGATCTTATTAACAGATCAAATTCCTATATCAATATCAAATTTTTTTCTTAAACGTTTACTTTTGATCTTTAAAGCGAAGCAATAGAAACAACACGGAAGGAAAATCTCTTTTCTTTGAGCAAAAATTAGATTAGGTAATAATAGGTAAATTGTTGTGTTCCGAAGAAATAGGTCAACTATCTGTGGTACATCGAGATCGATAAATCAAGAGTTCATGTGTGGCGCGCGTGCTAAGAGATCAATCGTCGGCTCCATTGGATCGATCACGGTTACTGTTTAATTGAATAATCAAATCAGAGGATAATAACGAGTCGCCGGGCTGACTCGTATGCTCTATCTACTGATTCTCACGAATCGATTATTTGTCACGAGGATTACACGAGGATTTCTAGAACTTAATCACATGCTTAGGCTTTGGAAAATTACGGAAAACCTCTTACTGCATTACGAAGACTGATTGTCCGTTACATCAATCCTAATCAAATAAACAGTACATCTTGTTACAGGAATGGAATTATCACGAGAAAAATATGCATATTCTGATACAATCTTCTAGGAAATTGATGTTTAACCAATGTAACGGACTTTACCAAAGAATTTGTTCGGAATCGGTGACAAAATAATCGTGTTATAAGAATACAGACTGGCTTCTGATATTAGCTATAAAAATTCTAACAATTGGGTCTTACTTTAATTTTCCTCGTATTACTTTCTAAGATTGACAATCGATTACGTAACAGGCAATGATACTCTTCTGTTACTATCATCACGTGTACCGAGCAAGTACACATGTATATATGTAATTTCAAGTGTAAGTAGTGGTTCTACGGTGGACATGGGCGGGAACCATTTCACTCTCTGGACAGTGTTGAACACGAGTCACGAGATCCGATAAGATTTGATAAGTTACTCTCGTGAATGAGTCACGCGCTTCACAACCTTCTGAAAATAATATGATAATATGATTGATAGAGACAAATTCTATTATTTGTTCGTCGATTACGTGACGAAGTTTGTTAGATCTATCTTTAAATATTGACCAAACGGATTTGAGGCAACTTGAAACATTGCTGAGAATAGGAGACAGTTTCAAAATACGATTCGAGGATTAAATTGATAGTAATCATTCCACATATAGAGAGATGAAATTTTGAAAGAAAAACAGGTTGGTTAGAAACTTAAAATCATGAAAATTGTGTATTTAGCATTTGTCTTGCGTTATATTTCAAAGTCAAATGAAGCTTGTAAAGAGCTCTAGGACATGAATTAAATGATAGTTACGTCGATTAATGTTCGGTTGGCAATTGGAATACGACTCTTCGAATAGATATAACTGGAATTTTTTTATAAGTTTCCTTAAAGAAGAAGAAACTTAGCAGCAAAAGGAATGGATATTTAAAATTGATAAATGATGATATTTTTATTGATTGTAGGATAGATCTAAAATCAATAAACAAGTGGAAGATAAAGCACGAGGAAATTCCACGTGGAAGAAAAGGATGAAAGCGAACAATAGCTGATAGGTAGCAAAATTCTAATATTAGAAAAATTCTTATTTATTTATTAGCATAGGTATTTAAGTATACGATGTTATGCGTTATACGAGTTTATAGAGGCAATTATTATATGCGTTAGACGCAGTTAGCTGACAATTCTCGTAAATTCTCAACATTTCATTCATTCAGACTCTCAATGGTTCAAGAACAAAACCTACAAAATCAAAGATAGAAATCTATATTGTATCTCTGAATGATTAAAGAAACAACAATCGCTCGTATTAAAATAAAAGGGTTTACAAGTGGCTATGAGTAACGAGATGTCAAACGAAACGCAATAGAGTTAATAGCACGAGAAAAACAACAGAGAATTGAACGGCACACGAAGGAGCATTTAATTAATTGAAGGTTTAGTTCTATATCTTCTACGAACTTTGACCTCAATTAGAATTTGTATTAACTAAATGCGCAATCGCTTCAGGCAATATAGTTTTTATATAAACTATTATGCTGACGGAGTTAATTAACGAGTTCAGGCCTGATAACTCTTGTTTATTTTTTCACATCCATCGCGTACATAGACAGAAATTGTCCGAGGCTTCCAAGACCAATAGAAGCGACATCAGTAGAAATGCTTGATCTCCGGCGAGTTCTCATGACGGCCCGACGTGTTTTTAAAAGTCGCATAAAAAGTAGTTTGATACAAATATGGTTATCGAACACAGCGAGGAATATGGATATCACGAGTGATGTCACTGTAGCGGATGTTCTTGCTTTCTTCGCTCCCGGACGTATTCGTGATAACGCTAGAATGACCAACAACATTATATTATAGATAGCTTATAATATGCGTAGCTAAGGGCTAAATAAATACGTTTTCAGACAAGTAATGATTATTTGAAATCTACCCGAGGAAATTTAATAACGAATTCTAGTAAATACTGATTTTAATAAGGATAAATTTCTAAAATGATAAATCTTTGCACTATAGAATTTCTGTGAACGTACTATTCGCAACGATGGAACGAATAGTGATAGATATTCTTTTTGTGGAAGAGATTTTCTCCTTCTTGACTCGTGAAAGTGATCTATTTCTATCGATAGAATTTTGCTGTATGAGTTTTCCTAGAAGCGAGATTCTCCGCACAAATTATCTTTTATTTCTTTTATTAAAAAGTTAATGCAAGTAATTTATGGGAAAATGGAAAACGAGAAATTAGAGATTTTAGCTACGATTTTGATTTTTGTTGCAAAGGGTTCGTTTAATTATCTTCTTAACATTAGGGAATTTAGATGCCTCCCACTTTTTGTATAGTTACTAATGCCCGAAGCTAAGCTAAGAGCTACCTGGATTATCTGTAGTACTTGTCCGTAGTTAAATTTATGACTATTAAGCCATTTTTTTTTAAAATCGTTGTGGACTGTAGGTTATCTAGTGGCTCTAGTGCAATAAAAATAATATATATGTAAATACGTATAAAATAAAACATATAACGGCTTTTGTTTGACAATACATGTCTCCCTGGAATTCATATTACTGTAATAAAATCGGGGCTTGGAAAAGCGTCTATATTTTACTGACAATAAGAATATTTCTCAACCGAGGGATTTTAACGACAAGAGGAATGCGAAAGGAATACGACAAATTTGAATAACAAAAAGATAGAACTGTGCAAGCAAAGCGAAGAAAGCAATGGAAAGATCAGCACAAAAGCATCAAGAAGGGAAAGATTATAACATAAATGTAACGAAAACGTTAGAAAAGAAGGTTCAGTAATAAAACGAGCAACATACAAAGACCATAAAGATCCAAGCAGAAGTAAAATCTTTATGAAATGGAAAGTTATTCAGATTTCAAGTAAACAGGATTTTGAACCTTCCTAGATCTAAGATTCTCAGATTATAGGAAACATGAGACAGCGTTATCGCTATTACCACTAAAGTATCAGCATTGAACTAAGTTGTAAATTACTTTGTGTTTATATAACGAAACATCTGATTATGGCGTCTCTGAAAGGAGGGTAAGATTGTTCTATCACTTGTTGCCGATTCTCATGTTAATAATGTTTGCCAATGTCTAGTTTTGGAAATAATCGAACATTATTAACATAACATTTCTTCTAATTGTTTCAACCAGAAATATTCAACACCATAAATAAAACAGCGTTATCGTCCATGTAACATCTTCTTCTTTTATTACCTATGTGAAATTAGGTTTTTCTCGATCATTGCGTCAGACAATATCGTTTCAAATGTGTCTTTAACGGTATTTGTAACGGCGGTCGAACTCGGGAACTTTTTCAACGAACAGGAGGCAATGAATCATGCAGAAAAGTCTTGTCACATGATCTGCTTCCATAGAATTGCTCATGCGTCATGGGTGTAGATTAGGATGTTGAACGATGCGTGAGAATTTCGCGATACACTCTTTATAATTATTATTATAGCGATACAAATGGTAATGTTTTTCTCTTTTTACGTTATACGGAATTGGACACAAGAGACTGTGAAATATTTCTAATTTTCATAACTTGCAATTCAAATATTAACCTTGCACTTTGCACTAGGATTTATCCTTAGCATTTAAAATGATCGTATAAAATATGAAGCATCATATCTAATCGTTGCATAAATGTTTTCGTTAAAAAGTGTTTCAGTAAAAATACAGTACAAAATATATCACGAACCGCTTATTTGTGTCATAATTTTCAAAAAGTGATAAATGTCATTGTGGGAATGACAAATTTTTATATATTTGATAAATACTTCTACAAAAACAGCGGAATGGTAATAATAGCTTTTATCGGTGCAACATGTCTCAATAAACACGCAGTGAGCTGAATATGTAACGATTTGCTCTTTATCGGGGGAGGTAAACATCAAGAACAAGTTCATATAACGAATTATTTCAAAATGTAACTTAAAATAGACATGCATCGTGCTCGCGAGAAGTTAAGTAAGTTAAGTAATATTTATCGATTAGCATCTGTTGTTTATTTTCTTCGATCTCTACTCATCCAGATTTGAACAAGGCAAATTAGTTTGACACGTAATCGCAAATTCTCACGTTCATTCTTGTAACAACGTTATGTGATTTAAAAATAAAATTAGCACTCATTATTTTCGTTGACAGATGGCAGACGACTGTTATTTCCTACGGAAAGTCTATCTTTTATTGAATGTCTCTTTTAGCGACTTTATGACATATGGCGTTCGAAACAATTGCAGATGGCATACCGAGCAAATAATATACTGGATTAAAATATCCTTGGAGCATGCAGTCTCGATAAAATTATTTTTAAGAAGTTGTGATCTGCCTCGACAAAGTCTAGGAGTTGACGGTTTCAGAGTGGTTGACGAATATGTTTTAATTGGAGCATTTTAACCCAAACCTTTTCTAATAATTCCATCCTTCGATCTTTTGCATTTAATTAGATATCATGTTACTTGATTAAAGTAGTAATACTTCTTTACAGTTTTTCGTACCTTCGATAATTCGGTGATCGTTCAGGATAGGCCGCTTATTTCCTGTAAAAGTGAAAAATGGATTATTACATTTGTTACGTGCCCACTGCACGTGGAAGTGTTGATCGATAAAGTCAACAGCACTGGGAGTTAGATTACGTAATCAGTTAAATACGTTACCGTGCATCTGTACGAGAAAATGTGGTTAAAATATGTTTAAAAGAATTATAGCACGACGGTAGTGAGTATTACGTAAATCGTTTGACAACCAAGAAAATTGATGATCTCAAATAAAATATTCTCGAACAATATATCGTTCGAATCATACCAGAATCATTTGTTCATAACTAAACATAAAGTATCAATTTTACACGATATGTATCATTTTTTGTTTTCAAATATACTGTATATGAGGTAGGTAAACTAGCCAAATGAGCCGAATCGTTGACACGTAAAAATGCCGATATTCCATTATCATCATCTTAACCTTGACCTACAAATTTATAGAGCGCATAAAATAAAAATTATTGCGCGTGTCTTAGTACGCGCAAGCGACTATTTTTAATTAAAAAATGAAATAACGAAACAGGGGGAAAGTACGATTCATTATGTTATGTCAAAATTGTAGATGTTTGATTGCAGATTACGGTATGCAAGATGAAAGAAGATATTCAAGATCACGGACAGTATGTATTTTCAGACGTACAAGATGCCTCGCGATAACTATGCAACGATCTTCTACAAGTAGACTCGATGAAAGTTCTAGACGATTGCATTGGCTTTCTACACAGTTGGTTTGTATGACGGCGCTAATACGATTTTATTGTCTTTGTTTGCGGGTACGGACCATTCACGTGACATACCTCTCGCGTCGAGCACGTGACAGGCACGTGGTGCGAGCATGTGTGCATCGTTTCACGCAGAACTCCACGTATCGTTGTTTCGACGCGAACTTGGGCGAGCAGTAGGCTATGTGTCATGCAGAACGTTTGACCCACTGGTTAGTGTTGGTTAGTGTGCACGGTAGCACGTAGAAAACAAGCTTCAACGCGAGACGCGTGCGCCAATCAACTTTATGCATCTTCTGCGTACCAAATTTCCCTTGTAGATATCTCGAATCCTGTAGACAAGATACCGACACGTAAATATGCACCAGATGCATATATCCTATTCAGTTAAAGAGATTTGATTAGTATTTCGTGTTAGATATACATATTGGTAATGATAATTATGAAAATGTAATAACATCGAAAAATAATTATTTACTATATTTTGTATTTTCTCTGGTTTATCTCCACTGATTGACGCCATTGGTAGGATAAATTCTATTGGAGAAGATGCAATTTTCATTCGCAATTCGTGGATGGCTATTATGTTTGACTGTAAAATGGAAAATTCCGTTCAATGCGTATAATATAAATTCGATTTGTAGCGAGTTTAATAATAATATTGCTAGTGAAACATTTGTTATGATAAAATCCTGCTCTATAACGAATTGACAGCCTACACTCTCTTTTCGAACTTTCTAACGCAATACATATGTAAGTAACACTTTCTTAAGTTTACGCGAAAACAACGATGATCGAGAGAGATTATCACGATACGCTATCATCCGTGTTATTTCGTCCTCGTTACAGTTACCTTCAATCTCTTTTCCCCTCTCTCTTGTACTCTTAAGCGATGTCTATATCTCAAATTCCTCCTCGTTTGTTCAATTAATGGCTACTGTGTATCTAACTGAAAATAAAATTCAAATATGATGGAAAGGAAAATACAGTTGAGTAAATGCAGAACGAACGAGGGATCAAGCCTGTTTGAACCTTTTTTTATCGCGTTGATCATATAACGATTAATTGCAGTCATCCGCTAATATATGAATTACAGTTAAACATTAAGCATATCTCTAGTTGCTTAATGATGCACGTGATTCGGATAAGTATTATCTTATCTGAGAAACAGGTGCTCATCAGAAAGCGGAAGTTCATCCTTGAAATTGATCTAAAATCTCTATCTAACATAAAAAAGATTTTGATATCAGCCTTTAATTACTATTTAACCAACTACTATTTTACTGCATCGTTGATGATTTTGTCTAAAGGCGAACAAGACTCTGCTGCAAACATATGCGACTACATGCATACGCATAGAATGCTAATACCTGAGAGAAACGACTGGCGATATTGAAAAGATGGTCACGGAATAAATTAACTCTTAGGTGGTGGCTTAGAATCATTGTGACTTCATTGCGTCTTGTTGACTACCAATTTAAATCGTAAAGAAAGTTGCTAGTAATAACCGGTAAGAACAAATTAAATTGTTTTGTCTTTCTCTTTCCCCGATATTCCTAAAAGATATTGTATGTCACGTGATAAACGAATTAAAAATTTACAGCGATGGACAAAAGTTAAGATTAACACAGGTTAGTTTTTCTCGTAAAATGCTTTCGTTCATCGCTGTATATGGATTTTCAATGGAAGTTAAGTTTGATATATGATTATCACTTATAATATCAAAAATTAATAATTCAATAATGAGAAATATACCAGAGAGGAGAAGGTTCCGGACGAACGTCTGAAAAATATGTTGTCGAACATTTCTGATGGCAACATTTTGCTTAACCACAACTAGCTCCGCGAATAATATTGGTCTGAGGCCAAAGTAACAAAATGATCGGCAATCAGCCAATGGAATAAAATTTGCACGAAGTTTGTCACAAGAACGCAACGCAGGATGTCAGAGTTCCTTAAGAACTCAATTGTTCTAGAGAAGCCATCTGTTCTGGACTGCAGCATCGCCACCTTGTTCCCGGTAATAGAGACGTTGATAGTGTTACCTGTCGAAAAAGATGGTTGCATCAAATCGGTCACGCGTTTCTTACGGTTGATTCATGAACATTCACGACAAAGTTAAATAAATACCACGGATTCAGGGATATAGAAACGGAGCGCAAGCTTAATTTATAGACAGGAAAAATAAAAATTACTTCAAGTGAGAGGGAAACGCTTAGTAGTGCTCAAAATTGATTACGTATATCACGCATTTCCACGCACGCTTTGTATTGCTAATTTTAGGAACTATTAATCTAAGTTCTTGCTAAAAATTATTATCCTTTGGACTTCATCCATTGTTAGAATTGACAAAATAAATTGAAGAAAAGATATATGCCACTTTTTCCTTTAAATGTTTATGATTTACTTTATGAAATAATGCTCAATCATATTCGTTAAATATCAACTGTTAGTGTTTTATGACAAATGATAAATATACACGGCTGCGCATATGCTGAAAAGTAACCGACAAAAATTAGGCACAGTTTACTTGTCCGGAAATGGCTTCCTCTCGTAATATTACGCTACGTTTCTATATTCCTATATCTACAAAGAATATATATCTTCATTATCGAATCATCTATCATTGTATATGTATATCGTACATATTAATTAAAAGTCACGAGTACACAATGAAGAATGGCATTAATCTGGTATTAAACTTAATACGATAATATAGAAAGCGATATTTCCATTTATGATTTGACGAAAATTAAACGTGCGAGATATTTCACGCGGTCAAGACATTTTCCCGAAGAATTTCTTGCCTATTTGTGAGAAAACGACTTCCTCGATGGAGAACACATATCTAATGTATTAAGCGATTATTTCTACACAGGAGAATAGTTACCATATTCAGGATCGAAAAAAACTCTGTTTCTATTCGCCTAGTTCCCGATTCATGAATATTCCAATGTGAGCGAGCTCCTTGACATAAATTATATTTTATCTACGACTCATGCACTAATTTTAAGAATCTATACGTAACATGGATTTCAGTGCGACTGCCATCTAGCAACAAACCGCAGAATCTACTTTATCGCTACAAATGATCGCCGATAACACAAATACCAACGCTTTCTACATGACTAATAAAAAATATACATTTCAAAATAAATAAATATATAAAATCGAGATATATTCCTTTTGATTTCATTAATCGTTCCACTTTAATTTTAAAACGAATCGTAACGAATCTTCCATTGGTAATTGGTGAGAAAGCTGTCACGTGTCAATTAACCACGTGCGTCAAAGGATTGCCAGGAGTTGGGCAAGGGTGAAGTACACGTGACTGATCGTGGGGCTTCGAGCAACCGGTGCTGGTAATTGGATCACGGGAGAAACTACATTTTAAGGTCAGCAGATTATCGGAACAATGTCATTCGTTCGTCGAAGCCCCGAGAGAAACGATGGATTTCACCCACAAACGGGTCTATCAGATTTTGTCAGCGATCCTAGACCCGTTGACGAGAGAATCAGACGAAAACGAAGAGGATGAAACTTAACGCTGAAGTACCGATACGTGCCTCCCAAAATTGATTAAAAATATTCTGTGACCGTGGAAAAAGTTCATGTGCGCTCTTAGCCCTTTATTTCTGTCGGATTAGCTTGGATTAGTATCCGCGAAAGTTATTATGAAATCGTCTACGTTTAATAGATCGCGATCGGAAAATGATTTTTCTTCCGTAAAACTGCACGGACTCGACGACCTGTTATGCAGGAAACGAATGAAATTGTCCAAGACATCGTTTCGAGTAAGTCCTCGTCTAAGTTAATCTATCACCGCACTCTCGAGGGTCTCGTTAAATTATTATTTTATTCCAAGCCTGTCTTTCAACATGATTAACGCTGTCAAAAGTTCCCACGAGTATACAGTTTCTACAGTGAAAATATCTTTCGAGTTTCGGATGAATTTTAAACTGTCTTGAACAGCAGTAGCTGCAAAAGTTCGAACTTTAAACGCAGTAAAAAATTTCATCTCGTATAACTTCAATCTTAGTTGTACGATGTCGAAGACTGTCTGAAGACCAGTGAGAACGAATTGGAGGAGGAGAAGACGAATTATTTTCCAAACTGCGACGCGTCTGTCTGGATGAGATCTTGCAAGAAGGAAGTGATCGAACCCATAATTGGCGAAGTGATAGGGAAGATACCAAGTTGGCTGAAAGGAACTTTGTTGAGGAACGGACCGGGTAGCTTGCAAGTCGGAGAATACAGCTTCAATCACCTGTTTGATAGCTCAGCTTTATTGCACCGGTATGTATTTGTGGTAGAAGAAACATTAATAGATTGAGATATTAGTTTTAAAAAGTCTAATAACGTTTGCAACAGCTTCTTAATGATAGAAATTATTTTTTAAAATATACAGTTTACATAACTATTCGACTTCAATACGTAACCCAGACCTTGAAAAAGATCTCCATGGCACTAACGAAGCAATAATAGCTGATTGTTATCGATTATAATCTGAGGTCGGAAGCCTCACGTAACGTTCATACTACATCCACGAAAGGTGGAAATCTTTAAAGTATAATTCGAATAATTCCGTACATCTTCTGGAAAAAATAGATTCGCAATTGCTAATGGGAAAGTGACGTACCAATGCAGATTCGTTCAGACAGACGTGTACAAGAAGAACAATGCTGCCCAAAGGATAGTGGTTACTGAATTTGGCACGAAAGCAGTACCAGACCCTTGCAGAAGTATTTTCCAAAGGTACCAAATGATTTAAATAAAACATTAATAAATTATGATATTCAAAGAACATAGGTATTGATAAAATTTCGTTTAGAGTCGCGGCGGTATTCAAACCTGAAGATGACTCTGACAATTCTATGATATCTGTATACCCCTTTGGTGATGAGTATTACACATTTGCGGAAACGGCTGTGATTCATCGTATCGATCCAAAAACTTTGGAAACTACAGGCAAGGTAGTGATTCTTATGCATGTATATTCGCATTGCTTTATAATTCGCTTTATGATCACTGTATGATGGTTGCACGATTATGATCGTGATCGCCTGTGAGTAATTTTATTCGTCGATTTAATGATCGCAGGTAAACGTGTCAGATTACGTTGGAATTGTGAACCATACGTCTCACCCTCACGTAATGAACGATGGCACCGTTTATAATTTGGGACTGAGCGTAACGCCAAGAGGACCTCTATACAATGTCGTATGCTTTTCACCCAATCAAATGATCATTGGTTAGAGTTAGCCTGAATTTCTAGCTAATAATTAAAACGTGGATATTTATGCAAATTCATATTTCAATGAATTCAACTGAAGGAATGAAGTCGAAGCAGAAATTTGTTTCGCTTACTGTGTATCACAACGAGTACTCTCACTTTCGATATTTTATATATTTTTGTACATCTTTGCATCGTTCGACATTTCATAAATGCATAAAAATCCACAGAGTGGAAATAATGTCTTCTTAATTAATTTGTTCAGACGATTCAGGAAAGGAGAAGGAATTATCTATGTTCGACCAAGCCATCATCGTCGCCAGTATCCCATCTCGATGGTTACTGAATCCTTCTTACATGCACACCTTTGGTATCACTGAAAACTATTTCATTATCATAGAACAACCATTAGCAGTGTCTCTGGCCACCGTTGTATCCTGCAAAATGAAACAACAACCAATGCGAGCAGCTTTGAAGTGGTACGAGAAGGAGAACGTAAGTCAAGTCTGTAAAAGAATTCTCTTAATTTTTAATAGAAGAGTGTGAAGAGATATAATCTTCTTTTTATCGTGACAGACTCTCATACACGTGGTTTCGAGAGATACCGGATTGCTGGAGAGGACGTTTATTTCAGAGGCATTCTTTTATCTCCATATCATCAATCAATTCGAAACACGTGATCGTGATTACGTGGTACTGGACGTCTGCTGCTATCGCGATGCCAAGATGTTAGATTGTCTATTTGTCGATGCAATGAAGGTGATATATAATTTTGATGAAGTTAGTTAAAGGGTGGTAATGGATCATAGATGAATGTTCTTGAATGATTGCAGAATTTGCACAAGAACCCTGACTATGCCAAAATGTTTCGAGGCAGACCTTTGAGATTCGTATTACCGATGAAACGTCCACAGTTGGATGTACCATTGGAATATAATTTGATTACCGCAAAAACGGTGAACCAAGGTCTGGAGTCTTTCCAAGGCGACTCTGTCAGATGTCAAAATAAATCTAGTTCAGAGTTCGTTGAAATGTCGACAAATGACGAGGAGGCTAACAAGGGCAAAAAGAATGATTATAAGAATATTCTTCAACGAAAAGCAACCGCTCATAAGCTCGCCAATGGTAGTATCTTTGTAAAACCAGAACTTCTTTGCGATTTGGGCTGTGAAACGCCACGTCTTAATTACGACTCCTGTCTTGGAAGAGAGTATCGGTACTTTTATGCTATTTCTAGTGACGTGGACTTGGATAATCCCGGAACGGTACATATCGTCTAATTTTACTTTTTGTATAAACTTTGGTATATTGTGTTACAATTACTGGTATGAAAAATATTCTTTTATAGATCATCAAGGTAGATATCTTGGAAAAAACAAGGAAAACTTGGTGCGAAAAAAACGTTTATCCAAGTGAACCGATTTTTGTACCGGATCCTAATGGCAAGGTAAGAGATCTAGAGATCTGAAATCCTAAAATTTCTATGATGTCTAAAAGAGTAAAGACTATAAAGAATCGAAAAAAGATATTCTATAAGTAAATGACTATTTCATTTACATCTGACTATCTGATTGACTATCTGATTTACATATCTATCTCAATATTTCAGAACGAGGACGATGGCGTGGTTCTCAGTTCTATTGTGTGGTCTGATAAAGAGACACGCGTTGGATTACTGATTCTAGACAGCGTGACTCTTACAGAAATCGCAAGAGCCATCTTCGATACTCCTGGCCCAGTGCCAAAATGCTTACATGGTTGGTTTACCTTGGACAAGTAAAATAAACTGAGGTTTTCAAGAGATGGATATCGGATCTTTGACTCATTGATGGAAATGATTTGGACGTTATGTGACATGTATTATATCAAACAGTTGATATATCTTTGTCACAACATATTTATATTTTTCAGTTATTTCCATTTTGTTGGCTTGATTATTGCTTTATTAGTAGCTTCGGAATTAGAATGTTCCCTTTGAAAACTGCAAACTGCGATATTAAGAAGAATATCAACTGCACAATATGTATATAATATAATAAATTATTTAATGTCTTCTCCCGATTGTACAGTGTACTTATATTTGGCGATTAGTGTTTTGCATAAAGCTTCGATGACGTGTAACGCAAATAAATTTACAATAAAATGGGATGCATCGTGAGAATATTTGTCAGATGGAATGTAAAATGCCCTACTCAAACATTGTCCTTAAATTAATATCCACAAATATCCGGTCCGTCGTATCAATCCACAGAACATCCAGTTTCTGGTCCTAGATACCTTTACAACAATTAATTAAGACATCGTTTACAATTACGCTACGTTCTTGTTAAAATAATCTACTATCATAAACGCGATATCGGGTGTCTCATCAACTGAAACAAATAAATTCTGGCAACGAAAATATCGATTTAGGCTGTCCGTATGTCCTTTGGTTCGATATAACAGAACAGCAAGGCGAATAAGTTGATCTTAATTCGTAAAAATAATCTATGCGCACAGTACTGCAAAATTTAATCAAATCTTTTAGAAGATCCTCTTGAGCACGTTCGTGCGAATAGACCTATCATGACTTAATAAGTTTCATGTACTTAGAGTTAAAGATTACAATAAATAGGGTTGGCACAACCATAGTCATAAAATTAGATACTACAGGAGCACTTAACGCGAGCCACGAATGCTTTCTTAAATAATTAACTCGATAAAATCACGCTTGTCACAAGTTGCAGAGTATGCCCGGTTCCTTAAAACATAATACATTAGTGATCACGTTTATGACTCGCGTTGCTGGCCACTAAATACAGACACGCGATTCACAGCATATTTCTTAAAAGGCGAAACCATTTGTCGGGATTCATTGGAGCACCACGTTTTAAAATACATACATAGTTCTCGAGAAGCTTCAACATTTCAACAAGGCATGGTTCGCGTCCAAGCCATTGGACAGGAGGATGTTCCTCTGAGCACTGCTATCACCAAGTCAAAGAGTTATATTAACGCGTCACAACCATTCATTCTCAAATACGCATGTGGTAACTCTCACTCTCTCCCTTTCTCTGTTTCTACATGATTATGGGATAATCGGAAAAGGAATCACGCGTGCAAAAAGGAATTCAGTTAAAAGAAAAAAAGCAGGAAAACTTGACAGACCCTGATACGAATCTTCGGTACCGAAAGCTTCCTTCTACGCGCAGAGAAAACCACAAGCAACAATTGCCAAATCGTTTACCAATTTTCAAGTTTAATACAGGACGACACGTTCGATATCGAACGCCTGTCACGTTGTGGAAAGCCTTGAGAATTGTTCGCCCTGCACGATGGTCTTGTCCCGAGATTAAGTACGAGAGATGTTCAAAAGCGAGCGTAACTACGCAAGCGGCTAGGAGTACGATTTGTTGCTCGAACTTCACGGGGAGTATTCTACGCTCACGGAAGAAAGGGAATATTTTATTAAAAAAGAAAAATAAAAGGAAAACACGTCTCTCGTTCGGGTCATATTGCCGATCCTGACAATACGACTATCACATTTTTGCTTCTACTTATCTCTCTCTCGCTCATTCTCTCCCATGTCTTTCACTCCTTTTCTCCCTCCTTCACTCAGACTTTTTCAACTTTCTCGCAATCAACGGAAACGATAGAGTTCATCGTGCTGACGTTCTTGCTTTCCGTGTCCGTTTCGCTCTTCGCGATACTGGATGTCGAGACGCCTATATGAGATTCCGAGTGCATAGGCAAGATTCCAGCGTTTGCGTCTTCTATCGCTTTCCTCAGCTTTGAACAACAAGAAAAAAAAGATCATTTAAAGTCAATGGAAGGAATAAACACAATGTTTCTATGATTAACGGACAAACCTCTTTCAATCCTACAACCCCAACCAGTCTTCCAATAGCCGTCACGTAAGCATGATTCACTCCGACCATGCTAAATAGACTGTGGACTTTCAACAAAGACGTTCGCTCAACCAATTGGAACGGTGCTGGATCGATGTGACACCTCGAGAAGTCGACCTCCAACATCATTTCACTTTCTTCCCACCGTTTCTGATCCTCTGCTGACATGTCTATTACCCTCTCGCGAGGCTGGTCATATACAGAAATTATTTCATTACATAGAAACTACGTTATGTATTCAGACGTGAATAGTCAAGAAGAATACATAGATTTACCAGTTGTACTTTCTTCGAAGTGGCGGGGCTCGGTGCCAGCATCGGGGTATGAGGAGGTACGTCTTGACTGTCACGCCTGATAGCACCTCCAGATCCGATCTCTGGATCTGGATCTACATCTTGCAAAGTGGCTGACTTGCGAAAAATCGCCTCGAAGGCAAGGCGTATTCTGAAATTGCAACAATGTGTTAAGAAACGAGAAACGCATATTTTTTCTTTGTGGCCTGTGTCGCAAGAGGTATAATATTTTATAAATATAACGAATAATATTTTAGTTAAATGAATTACGCACGAGCAAAGAAAATTCAAATTTGACTAGTTTAGCCAATTTAAATCTGTTCATTTTCATTTTTTTCATTCTGTAAATATAAAGGTAATTCCTCTTACCTGCTCTCCGCACCAGTGACAGTGGTATAAGGAGTAACGGCGGGGCTGACTAGTGGGCTGAATCCTTTCAATGTGAAGGAATTGGTTTTCTTTAAGATCGATTTCTTCGGTTGTGACCCAAATACCGGGGAATGGTAAGTGTGCTGAAAAATAACACGCGAGAGATACGGTGAAACGAGAAGAAGGAGCTGCATGGTGACCAGCACACGTAGTTAATTGAGTAAATGTACACAATTATGCGTGACCATTGACGTCGAGTAGGCGTGACTTACATGGTCAGGAGCGGCAGCGTTGTTTGGAGACATTGTTAGATCGTTAACACTTTGCCTCTGCATCTTAAGAATATCTGGTGCCGGGATCACTTCGAACCTGGACGGTCTCCTTGTTCTTTCCTGGTCCCTTAACTGACGTTCCATTTCTTCTCGAGCTCTCTCCTCCGCCTCTTTGTGCCATTTCTGGGCCACCTGAATGAAGAATTCAAATCCACAGATCTCACCGACGGAAACTTAGAATTAATTATTTCTAGAAATAACATACTACGATGACTACCTGCAGCCTCCTCTCTCGTCCTATATGTTTCTCAATCAGTTTGATTAATTCCAACCTTTGGATAGATCCAAGCAGAATCATAGAATCAGGATTATCGACCAGAGGAAATCCACGTAACTTGCGGTTTTCTTTTAAAATTTCCTTTAATTTCTGATAGGTAATTCCGTGCCAAATATTCTTCACATCACGAACCATAAAGTCTTCGACGTACACATTGTACATGCCTATAGCACACAAGATTTTTTCGTACTAATTTTTTTTTCCTAAATCCTGATTCATATAGAGAGATAATATTTAATAAATTTATTACCTCCTTATGCAACTTCCTTTGGGAAGCTTGTTAAAAATAGTAAGAGCAAAGTTCAGAAATATATAGATTTAGGTTGTCAAGGACGCAGAGGATTTAGCAAAAGATTATTAAGGATTTACCTGAACTGGAAGGTAGTAGGTCTGGTAAGTATGGCAGCTTCTTAATCAGAATGATACTGTCGTATATGCTGGGTTGAAGAAGCGCAGCGATGGCGTTGCTGATCAGCACGGCGATCATTATAGGAACAATGTGAGTAATCTGGCCAGTCATCTCAAACACGATAACACTCACAGAGATTGTATGGGTCACAGCACCGGAAAATGCAGCTGCTCCAACGGTGGCGTAGCCTCCTGAAGAACAATTTCTTTCAGTCGAGCTTCTAACTTTCAATGCTCCAGTCGCGGACGATGTCGAAATCACGATTTGCATACATATTCTGTTAATTTCGGTGAACCATGCTGTTTGTAAGATGTAGGTTAATAGAAAAAACTATCTCCTTTTTCATCGTTTATTCTGACTTTTGCTTCTACTGCATTAAAAATCCCCTTATGATAAACCTATAGAATGCGATTTTGTACAGAAAAATATGAAAATCGCCCGCGGCCGGATGGTTAAAAACTTCTCGTTTTATTGGGAAAATTCCAAATTACCTGGTACGATAGGAGTTATGATACCACCATATCGAACACCATTGGGGAACCATAGAGCCATGGCTTCACCCACAGCTCTGCCTAATGCAGCACCGATTTTGAACACGGGGATGAAGATTCCCGATGGCACGGGAACCGTCGAACTTATGATCGAAAAGATGAACTGAAAACGAAGCTCTTAATTTCATTCCGAACTTCTTCTAAAGGCGCAACGAGTTTATTTGACTAAGGATATTTTACCGTGAATGCAACGAAACTAATTAAACCGATGAACACATCAGTGTATATGGTAGACCAATGTTTAACCATGTTCATTTCTTCTACTCCTAATTCTTGTTTGGTCCAAGTGAAATTGGTGAACAGACCATAAACTTGATCGTGTGTGTTTAAATCACCGGCCATGAACTGGCCTAGTCCCAGGGGAAAAGACACGGAGGACACGATCAGGGAGACGATTCCAGGATACAAGAAGCGACTGGAATAATTTTGTGAAACCGTGAACGATACTTGGATTACCGTTATTTAAGTACTAATATAGTTAACTAGACGGAACTTTGCTTCGTTAACTGGCTATCTTTATCCTCGCCAGCTTCTCAGATTAATTTCAACTGAAGAATGAAAATTTCTAACCAATAATGTAATCAAGACAGTGATCAATGTTCCGAAGAATTGTACGTATAATATCAACAGTAGCAACTAGCATCTTCTTAGAATTTATAGCAGAGGCGAAGTAAAGCATAAAAGCTGTACGGTTCTAATAATCATGAATGATACTAGATTCTGGGCCATCCTCGATAATTAAGAAAAGGTCCTAATTCACGTCCAGTTAACAAAGCATTACTGTATCTCAAATCTTTGTCAGAAACGTCTCAATCAGAAATCACTCACTTTTTCTGCAGGAAGCTGTTCATACTCTTGTTCTTCCTCATGAAGATCACATACTGTCTATGCAACCAGACGTAGAAAGCACCTCCTAGACCGCTGCCAACACCGATCAAGGCAAATACAAACAATTCCTGAGGATCGAAGGGGAAATCCATAGTAAAATTCGTTGCGAACATCGCGGTAATCGTTTCCTCTCGTTGAAACCAGATCGCGAGCAATCGAAACATCGTGGCGCCGCATACGGCTGCGAAGAATCCTCTCCAGTAATTTCGAACGGCGAAATACACGGTGGTTACTTCGATGCTGAAGAGAACTCCACCTATCGGTGCTGCGAAACAGGCCGCAACTCCAACAGCGCAGGCTGCTGCGAGCATCTCACAGTTTCTGCTCTCGTTCTCGTAGATTCCTTGGAAACTGGTGACCAATTTGGATAAAAGCGTGGCCACGATACTAGCGATGTGCACGAAAGGACCTTCCTTGCCCAGCGGTAAACCAGAGCCCAATGTGGCAGTCAGACCTATCACCTGTTAGACATTACGGTGGCTCTACACCGACGCTCGAAAACATGCAGAGCAGAAGCTTCAAGGAAAATAGGAATTCGATGAATGTATAGGAATTTATTGAATATCAGATTATTGTTCAGACCAGGAGATTGAGGATTTAATACAGTGATTGGGAATCTTCGTGAAAATTTTATTTATGTATTTTAATTATGTCGTATTGTCATATATGAAGTGTTGTTGCTTGTTTCAATAGGAGATATTGCGATGCCGTGATATGCACATCTTTATAGTAAACTTATTTCTTTTGTTATATCATGCATTTTATACTTTCAATATATCTATTCTACAAATAAGAAAGGTTCAACCTCATCGAAAATCAAGAAATAAATCATTTTCGTTGAAATTAGACTATACACATGGACTGAAAATGACTTAATTAGAACATTTAAATTAACGCGTCTTCTGCGAAACTATTTTTTAGTGACTAAGTCAGCAATTGTCGTATCACAAAAGCATTAAATTTTCTAATCAAAAGAAATGGAAATGTCTAATCAAATTCGGAAGTGGTCAGTCGGTTAAAAGGGAACGTATAGCGGTAATGATACATTTCAATGGAAATCGAATCTTGTTTCTAACCTTCGCTACAAGAGTACGAAAGGTCAGGTACTCCTTCAAGGCCACTCCGCGTAGAATCGTCTTCATCTCTGGAATGCCTGATCCTATGCTCTGTGGTGCAACGATGTGCACGAATCCGGCGCTAAAGAGAATCAAGCAAACTGGCAAAGACACCCAGGCGAGATATTGAAGCGCTGGATGATGCGTCAGGTCCTGATAAAGCCATATCCTGGCTGGTGGAAGAAGGATACGGTTAACGAGACCTTGATTTTATCGTACATCGAATTGATTTATCAGAATAGACGCGTATAAATTAATGGCATGGAAAATTGCGAAGCTTTGAAATAGATTGAATTTTCTGAGAAAAAAATTAATGGCTAGTTTCAACATAGAAAATTACTTCTACATAAAAAAAGAAAAAAAGAACTATTCCTTGGTTATAATAGACTTTTTCTTCCAAAACTGCATTCGTTGATTCGTAACTTTTTTTAATTTCGATAATCCATCGAGTCTAGAGATCGCAAGAATTAAATTGACTTTACCGAGACATGTTTCTTTCAAAACCACAATTTCTGGTTTTCTCTACATTTTTAAATTTCGAAATTCTATCGAAGCTAGAGATCGAAAGAATTAATTCTTTTTATTCAACTGACCGTTGTTGCACATAGAAATGCCACGGTCCATGGCGTAACTGATAAGCGCCATGATTATACCAAGAAGAGCCAAGAAGACCCAGTCTTCGCCTAATCTAGCTCCAGTGTGCTTCCAGGCGAAGGCCAATAACGCGAGCAACTTCCTGCATAGTGGTCCTCTCCTCGACTTTCGTAGATCCTCCGCTCTAGTCTTGTCATACTTTCGCCGCGCTTTGTCGTGGTACTTCAGCTTTCGTGCCTCTTCTTTTGCGTACTCACCCAGGTCTTTCGTGTAGCGACCATACATCTAAACGCAGCACCATCTTTCATCGACTCTGAACTTTTTTCTCTTTTCGAACTTCTCGTTTTTTAAACAGAATTTCCACACCGACAGCGAGACAATATGTTATCGACATTTTTTAAACAAAATTTACGCATCATCGATATGAATGTTATCAAGGTTCTGAGAAAACACGATGCAATATATCTTTTACGACGAATGAAATAAGTTTTGTAAACAAAGTGCTATACATACCAAATATTTAGTGTCCACGATTGTCTACCAATTAAAGAACCTTTGATCGAGCTATTTACTCGTGATAGATTAATCTTCACAGAATCTACGAACTACTACGAAGTACTCTGATATACTGGAGAATTTTTTACTTCAACCAAATTTCATCATCGATCACGACACTGGGTCGTGCATTTTGGAAACTTCACGATCGAACCAGCGAAACGACGAATGATTGCCTAATTGATGATATCCACCTGATTGTCTTCGATCGATTTAATATTCATGACGCGAATTGGGAATTTTGTAGCTTTGATCCATTTAGAAACGTCATCTTCAGTAGTGATTTATCTGAGCTGCTGTTACCACTGTTTACGTGCTATTATCATGCTTGATTACTCAAAATACACTCTTTCTACATACAAACTAACAAAATTGTAAATACCGTGCGCAAGCTGATTTTTCGCAAATCAAGCGATTGTGTAGAAAATGAGAATCGTTATAAAAAATATTAGATTGTATGAACGATGCGCTTTTAGGAGATATTAATCTGCGTATCATTTGACAAGAAAAAATGTCAATATTCATCAATGATAATGATCGTACACGTGAACGACGAGATTACAATAGCGATGAAGATTACGCGTTATCGTGCGCTAATTCATAAGAAAAAAATACACTTACGCAAGCGTGAATTAATGGCATGGACAAATTTTATATCCTTTTGCAATATAAATAACTGTTACAACTACTGTAATATCTGAATGTGTTACAGGTGAAAATCAAAAGGAAAACAACAAAGAAATTAATTTGTAGGTAAAGACTTAAAGACTGGGACAATTGAAACTCTGGAATCGTAGAAAACACGACGAATTACCGTGAATTGTACGAGAACATTGTAAAACATTCGCGACGAATTAAATGTCGCGATCCTAGACCTCGTTTAAAAATAGGCAATGCGTGAAAATAATTTCAAACGAAACACGGGGAAAATCAAATTACACGCGGTTCGATGACTTTGATTAGTGATCGAGAAGATAAGACGTATCAGCGTTATATACCGATATTGGGAAAGATCAACGGAGGTGGAGAACACTCGGTGCATTAGTTGGTACAATTTGCCTTAGTTTTTTGATACAAGGGAAGAAAATCTCGTCAAATATTTCTGACTTACAAGATAATTATCGTTACAGACGAAATAGGCTCTATTCAGAACGAAAGCCGGCATGAAAACTGGATGAAATGCCACTGAAAGCTTCGAGCTGGCTCTGAATGGAAGGGACGCAGAATTCTTCGATAGATCGACCGATTAAGTCACGGACCAAGCATTCTTCGAGTACAGAAAAGATTTACGGGTCACTGGCAACCGATCGTACATCTTCTCCGCTTGTTAAGTCGATCTGATAAACTGTTTAATCTATCTAGCGATCTTTCTCTTCGATCGATTCTTCGCGACTTCAATTCATTAAGTCGCCGAAGATCTACTAATTGTAGCCGGCTATTCTGGTTCCGTGATTGTTCGCACTTCACCTCTTGGCAAACTTTGATATCCGGTATTTCTGGCGACAAGTTACTGTAAACAGGCCATTACGATTTTATTGTTTTCTTCCTTAAGCGATTGCCAGGATCTACTTGTTACACGATAGACCGAGGAAATAACGTAGGCCGCGAGGAACGCCTATTCTATCCAACCTTGGTGTATTAAGATATTTTAATTCGCAGTCGGTAGAATTTCGCAGCATTTCGCAGGTTACCATCAATATTAGAAGCTTCGTACGAGTCATTTGTCACGTTCCTATTGTTTTTCTTTCGCTCGCGAGTCCCATATGATTAATGGTCTGTTTCTTTAACGAATAACCAGAAACAGACGAGTCAAACGAGTTTCGCTAATTACCAGAAATTATCTTTATATGCGATCTCGATGTCTAGAATTTATTTACAATTTTATTCTGATCCTCCTTTTCAACTTTCAAATCCTCTCTCTTTATATCGTCGACTTCGATGATCTTTAAAGTGCGTTTCAACACATCGAAATTCATTCGCGAAATATTTTCCATCGACGAAACGGGAATATTTTCACTATTGATAGTCGTTCAACTGGTTCTAAGAAATTCCTGTGGACGTTTGAAATATGCCGAATTGCCGACGAGAGCGTGCACGCGAATTTGCGGACGAACGACAACTGAACCTGTTTTCCGATTTGAACATGAGTCGCGATATTTGTTGAAATTTGGCAACAGTCAAAATCCTTATTTTTAGCGACGGCCAACGTCGATCAACGACGGTGCGCTCTATTGTCTATTAACCATTAAACGACGCTAGCTGGCCCTAACTATTTCCCCATAACGAATCGAAAAACGAAATCCATTCCTCGCGTCTTCGAAAACGGGTTTCGCAATCGTCGAAAAAGTCCAACACGTCCCGTGTTTATCGAACGTTTGGAAACCTCTTGGATCGTCGAAAACCGGACAGAAATAACCCGCGATTTGCTATTCGGCTTACTACGAATCCTACGCCTGATTACGTTTTATGTAACAATCATTACTACTTCTACTACGCACGTGTTGTATTAAAACAACTTGCAAGTAGCATACGTCTGATCGTTTCTTGTAAAAATATTGCTCAGCTATTGGAAAAATAAATTTTTTAGATTTTAGATTCGTGGGATGAACGACGAATTATATTTATCCAGATTGAAATTTTTCGGATTAATTAAAGAGACTTCTCTTATCTACCAAGGTAATCTACCTTGCATATTTTATATACCTTGGCATCTTCAAATTTCCCGTAAATGGATAAGAATCAATGGTCCACTTGTAATTCTTTTCGGTTACCTTGCAGAAGAAAGTTTTAAAGGTAATTAATATGGAAAATACTTTGATGTACTTTAATTTAAAAAGCGGGATTATAATTAATAAGAGCAATTGCTTTAGAATAGATAACACATGTTAAAATATGAAAAATATCTACCAAAAAAGTTATGTATACACACGAATATCAATTTTAAACTTATACGCGTTAAACATATGCAATATACACTCGGTAATTCATAATCGTAAAATATACAACTGCGTGTACTACAAGTATAGCCTTCGTCGTATTTGATCTTTAATCCGTGTCACGAGCGCGAATCGTTATCATATGGCAAGGGGTTAAACTGTATTCGTATTTTATAGCGTCAAGACAATATCGCGTTTGTTTTACATAAGATAGACCGTAGAGGTGTTACACGTAGAAAAAGGACCCTGTAATAGAGGCAGAATGATCTGTGGATTGAAATATAGTCGACACCTGAGCTATCCTGTGCATGAATTTGACGACAACCACGTTCCACTGGGCAGTCAGCCGCTAACCCAATTTTATTAATTGAACGTAATGAATTCACGATACAATTAATCGCTTGATTCTAGGACAAACGTCGAACCGATAAGAATCCTTGCCTAAAAGCGATAATTGAAATTATAAATTTCAGTCTGGTTTTTTGGAAGTCCAGAGGATTAAGTAGGTTTTTAATGAGGCTACCTTCATCTTTTAGGGTCACGGTACCGTATTTATTACTAAATTATCTTCGAGTCGCCTTGGAGTTTGAGTCTCTAATGGCTGGCCCGTAATTTTAGAATCTAATTTTAAGACACGCAATTACAATTTACTCTAATTCGTATTTTTAGAATTGCATCGGTATTCGTCCGCGTACAGTTATTCGCGTCATTCTTCATTGCTTCACGCGAGATACAATTCGGTTCCCCGTTTACAAAAGCATCCGAGAGCCGTTTCCAGAAAGAAGCTCACCGACTGGCACAACTCCTGAAAGTAATTGTCTCGACAAAGTGATAAACGCCCCCGCTTATTGTAGCGTTTCCGACGTGACACATTTCCAACGCATGTGACTCGTCTTATTGTACTATCGCTCAACAAACAAAATTTGCGCCGGCTATGATTCTCGAGTATCCGATATAGCGCGGTCGATTCGTTTCTGTCAACGTTTAGTCAATAAAATATAGCTAAAATTATCGTCGATGACCCATGAAAATTGGCAACAGTTAAATTTTCATCGACCAAATAAACATAATCTTTAGCATACATATTGACCCACTCAGAAGCTGCGTGACTTGATGAATAACTCCAAATATCGAGCAACTACAAACTACTCGAAATTGCAAATTAGAGAAAGATGATGATTACGAATATTTATGTGAATTTATATTTTTGTGCTATACGAATATATATTTTATATATACGTATAGCACAAAAAAAAATTTTTAATTTTTGATGTACCATGGATACTCTATATGCTTTTGTATATTATTCTGAGTATTTTTGTGTCTTTCGATATTTCATTAATACATAAATATTTGCAGTTGAACGATGATGTAACAATCGAGTTCATTTACGTTATCTGACGATAACGATAAACTTATAAAAGTAGATCATTTCTTCTTTGAGAATAGACAGAACACTGACCATGTATCCGAATAAAAATATTGATAAATTGAATGTTTTAGCTTGTTGAAAGGCTCGCGTATATATATTATTCAAGTAAGACACTTTAAGCGTAATTTTTCTACAATTAGATCCAATTAAATATCATCATACGATATTCTCGCTTTATTTAAAAATTAAATAGAAAAAAACTATTCGTTCGATAGAATGAATAGCCGATTCCCATCGAAATCGTGGAAAATCCAGTGCAACGAAGCGATGCAGACACTGCACCCGGAAACAGTGCATCTGCATACCAGAGGAAAACGACGAATGTGTGCGTGATGTGTGCACACAGGTCGAAATGCAGCGGT